AATTATTTTCCATGGAAAGGCCAAAGCAGACATGCAGCATTCTCACAAGGATGAAGTCAACGATTCTGTCAGGTCCATCTGATGTTTTCGTCACACACTCTTTCCAGTAATTTGTTAGCAAAAGCTAATTAGTCTAAATCAAATCATGCGTGATCCATGCATTTTATCCCATGAGAACTGAAGTTGAATCCAGGGTCCAGGACTGACGTCTTGTGAATCAGCTTTATTAGAAACAAAATCATGATAAACTTTTGTAAAGATGTTTGTGTAATACCACACAGTTGCCCCAGGAGGGCAAATATTGTCCAGAAAAGTTTTGTTTTTAATCAAATTATTTAATTTAAATTGTTTATTCTATTTAAAATTCAACAAAACATTACAATTTCAACAAGACTAGTTTTATTAAACAGAAAAGACGACAACGCAGTAAATATGCACATTTTCTGATTTTGAAATAGAATATAATCTATAAGTGCTTAGACCAAAATAACACAAGTCAGCAGTTTTTGATTTTATCACAATATGTATACAAAAGCTTAACCTTTGATTTTGTTTTATTTTATTTTATTTTATTTATTTTATTTTTCCATTTGAACAAAACAAAATGTCTCTTTATACAGAAAAAATCTAAACTGAGAAATTTAGAGCCGAATGCAAAAGATGAAAACTACAAATTAACAAAAAACAAAAAGAAAAAAGAACGTTTTGGTCTGTTTGACGCTTTAAACATGTTTTTCATTAAGTTTTATTGTGATTATAGTGAAGTAAAATTTTTAAAGACTTCTAAGGTAATATAACAATCACATAGGGGATTTGGGTGCTTTAAAGTGATTTGATATTAATTATAATAATATCATAGTATTAACTATTTGTTATTGTTTTGATCAGATAGCACTATAGGCCAGATTTCTTTTAAAAATCAAACATTAATTGTTTCGCGCCAAAGTTAAGACTTATTTACTGTGTCATTTTTACATAAATGCACGCCTAACTCACACGACATCTCCTGACTGATTATCTAAATGACTAATAATTCTCTACAGTCTTAGGGGTGAGCAGATCAAGACTAATCTTATTATCACTGTTCGAACAAATTCTCATTCTCATTTTGACATTTCACTTCCCAGAAAATCTATGACCTTTTTGTTTATCTCTGCCTGTATGGAAAATAAGTGTAATAGAACTTTATTCTACATCAGAACAACGAAACCTGTTTGAAACCTGATTCCTGCTCTGGTCTTTTGTGTGCTGTTTGAAACTGGGACATCCCAGAAACGTCATTTCTAGTCCTGCATTTGTCCTTCTTTTCACCATGTCTGGACTTCTGCAACGACGGCTGTTTTCATTGCTGTTATCGACTGTATTTGTTGGTAAGATGTTCACTGTTTTAAATCAGCAATCATTTTGAACTAAGTAACATTAGAAACATCTTTTCAGGATGTTCTTTGGTGCCATGTTCATAGAACATTGCTCCCGTGCTAAAGGGTTTCCGAAAAGGGTAAAATCCTCAAATTTTTTTTTCTATGTTTATTGGAAAAGAAGATGAAGCAAATGATCTGTTGTTTGTAACATTTGAACATTTATGAGTATTTTCTGTAGACAAAAAGCTTAAAGGGTGCACCTTAGAGATGGTGTTCCTGGAAAAAGGTTGTGACTTGTGGCTTTGAAGGGCAAATGACGTTTGATGAGGTATGTGTAGAGACCTTATCAAAAACAGACTTATAACACATTCTATGGTAAACTGCCTGAATTTGATTTGGCGTCATCTAGGGTTCTACAACCCCCCCCACACACACACACACACACACACACCCCAAGGCACTTTACAACATGTGACTTTATGTTCTTGCTCTGTGGAGGTTGATTCATTTAATTCTCTGGCTCTTTGAAGAAGCTTGTGGTTACTGAGGTTTGGGAAATTTGTGAAGTTTTCATCCTCTAAAAACTGTTATTTAAGGATTAAATAGATCAAAAAGTTTGCTTCCATTTTGCAGAACTTGAAGAAAACCAGAAGTTGTGTAAAAATTACTTAAAATATGGGAAAGGTTTTTTTTTTTTTTTTTTTTGTTTTTGGGTGATCAGAAGCTTACATTTTCTTAATTACCACAAACCTGTTGATTGTGTGTGTCACACAACACAGTCGTTTTAAACATTTATCGCTTTGGACAAAAGAGTCTGCTAAATACATAAACTCAAAGATTTATTCATTTAATCAGATGATTTTTTTACACACACTCCACTCCTTTTCCTTTTATTTATGTCACGTCCACATTGCAGCTATTATTTGTGTGATTTATGAAAAATCATTTAGGAATCTGGGACAAAGTGAGGAATTACCTCCAGGCTATTTTTATTATCTTTTTTTCTTCCTTTTGTTTTATCCTTGCATAAAATAGGTCAAGTCTATATTAGTGCATTAAAAACCCGCAATTTTTTTACTTTACACATCTTGTTTGCACTAAAATCAGAAGATTGCAACTAATAAATGTTATTTATTACTGTGATGTTTCTGCAGCAATGGTCCAGACACTTGACCCCAACGTGACCGAAGCCACGGGAACAAGCTCTGTGTTGGCCTCCACTAAAAATCCTACAGAATCTATGAATATCCTGACCGCCTCCCATTTCTCCTCCCTAAAAGATCTGGTGTCCGACAGGAAAATCACAGGTTGGGAAAGTCTTCACTCTGCTCACGAATATTAAAACAAGAAGAGAAAAGTCCCCAGTCAAGTATTCTGATTCCCTTTTTTTCCTTTTCCAATATTATTAATGTCAAATCGTTTGCATCAGTTGACACAATCTCTGCAACTGAGGCTGGGTGTGGAGGATTTGCAAAAAATAGCGCAAGTCCTAAATATATCTAGACACAAGATGGCAGCAAAACACAACTTTTCAGGAATGGACTCCAGGCTGAGAGAGAAATGCAGCCAGTTTTATGTGTTTTTATTTTTTTATGAAGAAGTTTTCCTCTAAATGTTAGTTCTTTGTCATTTAAAGTTTGCCGCAAGCTTAAGCTGTGTCGAACTGAACATGTTTAACAGTTTTATATTTAATTAAACTGGATGCAATTGAGAAGATGATTTGTCTGGAAAGTTGTAGCATCAGAAGTGCCTGACCTCAGATAATTCTACCCTTGATCTCAACTCAACCCAGACTTTTTTTGTACAGCGCCTTGCAGACAAAGGATATGACACCAAAGTGCTTCACAGACGTATTAAACTGATAAAAACAGATAAAACAGACATAAAACTCAATAAAACAGTAACACTAGTTATATGATATGAGCAAATGAAAACTAACAATCAGAGATAATCATCAAATCATAAAAGTACATATTCAGCCTGGTTTTAAAAACCGACGCAGAATGTAGATGCCTTTATGGACCTGCTACTGAGAAGGCTTTATCCCCTCTCCACCAAGCGTGACCTAGGGTCTGAGAGCAGCAGAAGGTTCTCTGAGCGGAGCGTCCGAGCAGGGGCATAAGGCTGTAGCAAGGCTGCCAAGTAAGATGGCACCAACCCATTTAAAACAAAAAAAGATCTGCTCATCATTGCACACACATTAGTTTTTCATTCTCTGTGGCTGTTTCTACCTCGCCTGTGGTGTCCCACAAGGTTCTGTGCTGGGCCTTTGTTGTTCCTCCATAATCTCCTGCTGCTGCGTGACTCCCAGACTCTCTCCCCCTGAGCCTGAGATCAGTGGACTCAATGGTTTTCTTTAAAAAACAACTGAAAACCCATCTTTTCAGTCTGGATTTTGTGTTAACTCCTGTTGACACTCTGCTGCACATGAGCTGGATTCCCTGTTTGTTTCTGTAATTTTTGTATATTTCTGTCCACCTGTTTTGCTTTTATTGTGCTTGTGAAGCACCTTGTGATTTTTATCTTGAAAGGTACTATTAAAATAAACTTTTTAGTCTGAAGTGGGATGCTCAGTTAAGTTCATAGTTTATTTTGTATAAAATACATTTTGACGTCTGATTAGCGTGTGTAATCTGTTCTGCACATTTTGTTCTTTGGACAATCAGTCATGCAAATTTAGATTAATCTGAGAATGTGTGATTGTGCAGAAGCTTTTATCTTTTTTCTGTTCATTTTGTTTTATAAAGTTTACTTAGGTCTGCGTGTCTCTTTTGCTGGACCAGTGGACATCCTTGAGTCCCAGCTTTCCCATCTCCTCTACAAAGAGGTCGGTATGCCCCAAGATTACACAAATAAAACAAAAATGGACAAAAACTACTGCTGAGACTGTGATTTCCTCTGAAAAAGGACATCACTGAATGTGGAATTTTTCAAGATTATTAGATTTTTTATATAAAAGTGCTCTTCTGTCAAAACGTGTACACACACAAACCAGGCTTATTGGTGTTTAGAAAAGGTGAAGGAACTGAATGCAGATCCATGCCCTGCAGGTCTAAAGGTCCTTGTCTGAAGCCTTTGTATTGATTCTGCAGGTTTATCTTTCATTCATTAGTAAACTATTACGAAACACGCACGTGGACCCTGAAGCAGAACTTTTTTACTTTTCATTTTAAAGGAACCCAGCTGTTTCTGAGTCACAGCCCAACTTCATCACATGTCTGAGTGGATTAAAGTATTACAGTCTCAGCAGACGTTTTGATGTTGGGTTCCAGTTAGAGTGGAACCGATGAGTGGAACTTTAGTTTGTTTGGATGAAAGGCAGGTTCGACTGGTTTGATTGTGAATACTATTTCCTGTTCTTTGATAAGCCTGGACTCTACAACGCAGGAGAGAAGTCTGGACTCTTCACCGTGAAGGTGGTGGGATTAAAGAAAGTGAACTCCCGCAGATTTCAACAACCTTGAGGATTTTATTTTAAAGTGTTTGTTTCAGTTTGTGTTAGAATAAATAGTGTGTGTGTATTTCAAATTATTGTCAACTTTTCATTAAAGGTTTACCCACTCGCCTTCAAACGTGTCTGTCTAGTATTAGTCCCGCCCACCCGACTGATGACCCAATGGAGCAGGCGATGCGCGCTCACCCTCGGACTCCCCATTGGTGCTCAGCACGAGCGTGAGGAAGTTTCTCCGGACTGACAGAGGAGCGCGCTCTGACAGCTTCATGACTCTCTAAAACTAAAACAGTCACAATGGCCGATTCAGACACGAATACCGATGAGGACGAGAGGGAATTCCTCAAGGTTGTCGCTCAGATCGGAGGAAGAGAGCGGATTTATCTGGTCGGTGATGCTTGTGACAAAAAAAAGGTGGACGGAGATGACGTGGGAATTTTTCAGGAGTTCATCTGTGACATGTTTCATAGCAGCAACCCTGAGATCAGCAAAGGTCCAAACTCCCAGCAAGGCGATCGCGATGGGCAGACGGGGAAAAGCGATGCGATTCCTTTAACCGTGAGAGGAATGGATGAGGACGGAGGGAAGGAGAAGCGACCGGCACGCAAAACCCCGAGAACAGCAACGAAAAGGGCTAACATTTACAGTTCCAAGCGAGCGATAGACTCCCCCGTCATCGTCTTCATCTTCAGACAGACGTTCGTAAGCACATGCTCCAACGAGGGGAGTTTAAAGGAGATTCTGAAGGACGTAAAGGCACGTACGAAACGTGCCTCGACGATCTTGCGGCCCGCTTTGATTGGATTAATACGCGCCACGCAGGAGTGCGCAGAGACGCACCGCTGTGCGCAAGTCCTGGAGAGTCTGATGCGCTCGGTGTTCCACAGACACTCGCCTGAGATGATATGGGTCGGCTGTTTCATTCCCAAGACGGAGGCCACGATACAGAACATCAAGAAAAGCGCCTGCAACGTTGTTTACGCGTCTCAAACAGCAGGTGTAACCATCGTGCCGTAGCCAATGATCAAGCAATAGAGCGGGTTTGCAGAAAACATGAAGTTTGAACCTTTTATAGGGCACATAAATGGTGTATATGATTGCAGCTAATTGGTTAATAACACAAATGTTTCCTAGGGTACACATTTGCACGCGTTGTTTTCCCCCCCTTTTTCTTCCCAGGCTTAACAAAGAGAGCCATTCATGGGACAATCAGGCAGCCAAGCCGTTAAATGCTTATTATTGCCTGCCTTTCAGATAATTCCGGGGATAGAGGGAACCAGTCTTTGTGGCCATTCCAATGTTGTTTCAGGCCAGAGAGAAGGGAAGCCAGAGGCCAGACCAACATCAGACCTTCAAACTGCAGGCAAAAAGGTAGCAGCAACCCCTCTAAAGGTTCAGTCTGCTCTCACATATGCTGTTTTTCTATTGGGGTATTGATTTATTATCATTATTTTGACATGTTATTATTATTGTTAGCTTACAATATTAAAAGCTGGGACTGTAATTATGGGAGAAGACACATGCAAAGAGAATTTGCTTCTAAATTGATCAAATGTTATGTAATATATGCAGAGCCATGTAATTTGACTGCTAATTATGCCGCATTAAGATAAAAATTGGTTTTCTGGTCAGTTTTCTGAGTTCAATCTTGGGGGGCTGTGATGTTACAAGTAAAGGAAAGAAGAAATTTGGGAAAAAAGACACAAAATTACATATTTTTTAAAATGTAGCCAGTGTGTGTTAGTGTGGGATAACACTTGGTTTCAATGTAAAACAACATTTAAATCATTTCAGGTGAAGCTGGAAGTAAAGATGAAGGCCTTCCTCTCAAAACCTTGACTGCTGAGCCTCATGTGAATGGATGATGAGATGAAGTTGGTATGGCAGCTGATGTTGGGACACATGACTGGCCTCACAGCCAGAGGATTATTATGTTTTCACTGTGGGGAAAAAAGGGGGCACTGCATGGTGTAGCATGGCCTTTTTACACTGTTTTATGGTGCTTATCTGAGCCAAAAGAAGAAAACTGCTGCTGTTCTGTGCAATGTTTTGCCTTAAAACATTTATTGCATCAGCATTTATTGTAGCTATATTCTCCCCTAAACTTATAGAATTTTGACAAGCGCACTATGGTAAACAAAATGCAAGTGCACATAAAAATAGAAAGAACTCTGGGAAGATTACACTTTTTTTAAAATTTTATTCTTTGTTACAGCTGTTGCTGTTTTGTCCCAGAAAGTTGACTCTGCAGAGGACAGTCAGTGCATTGCCTCCTCCTCCTACCTGCACAGCTGCACTCACTTGGGCTGATCACCTCCGGAGCAGCCGGGAGAGCTGCCAGGAGGAAGGAGAGACTGGATCAGTGCCAGTTCTCTCATGTGCTCCAATTGTTTGTGTTTAAATGGCTTTTAAATGGGTTTAAGATGTTTTAAGCTTGGTGAAGCTTAACAACTTTTAGAGGTTTTTAACAGACGAGGGACCAGAGTGCTGGTTTCCTCTTGGCTCCCAAACTTGTGTATAGTCAGTGGACTTTGTGTGTGAATGTTTGGGAGCATTCGGATATCTGTTTTAAACATAAACCCATGGCCATTTTAACACTTTGAAGTACTTTTAGATTTGGAGCTTTTTGTCATTTTAAAATCCTTTTAATGAAATCATTGTTTACAATTTTAACACCTGAAACACATGCCTCTGTGTTACTCCCTGTCCTTCTCCTTATCCAATAGAGGATGTAACACAATGGGGGCTCGTCCGGGATATTCAACCATTCTATGAAGGACTTTTAATGGCATGTGCTTTTTGCAAACAGGTTTTATTCATAGAATTTTAAGATGTGTGGTCAGCCGTGTTCTCTCAGGTATTGTGAGTATGTTCTTTTTGTTTTATTCTGTTGTGCTTGTTAAATCTTAAAGTGAACAGAGTGAATTCCCTATAGGCTGTAGGAGCGCACCCTCTTTAGGATCCATTCTGGTTTTTGTTTTAATAGAGTTGGGGTTATGGAGGTTAACATTGGTGGAAATTCTACCATCTCGGGAGCACCCCAGGGATTTGGAGAGATGGGCTCTCCTGCCCGCTGGTCCATTTGTGCTTAATCGGCCCTCAAGCCATAAACTATCACAACTGATGTATAAACCTTAATGTGAACTGCTAGTTTTATTGTACCTGAAAGTTTTTTTATTACATAGTTTTATTGAAAGACTTAAAGTTCGCCTCATACCATTTTTCATTTGTCTGTTTTAGTTCAAATATGTGAGACCACTTCAGTCAGAAATGCTAACTGCTGCACAGAAACCTTGAGCAACTGATCTTGCATTGTTGTTTATAATTCCAAGCAAGGGCATTTTAAAATATACATATTTAATAAAAGTTTTTGTCTTAAATTTGTGTTTCTCAGTAAAGCCTATTTTGCAACAGAAATGTAGTACACTAAATCACTTGTACCAGTTTAGGTGTTTATTTATACTGATAATTTCCCATCCATTTAAATAAACACATTTATAATAATATGTTTTTGTTTTGAATAAATGTTTTAAATAAATGTGCATTCCTGTGGTAGTGGTTTTAATTACATTAATAATTTAATTTATTATGGAAACAGTTTTGAAGAATAAACCGTACATAACAGCACAAGTAAAACACTACTTTTGTTTCTCATCACATACGTACAAACAATTTAGAACTGTATTTTTTTTTAATTTACATTGAAATTACATAATGCAGAACGTATAATTACAACCGACTGATATAATTTTTTTGGACGTGTTCGCACTAGACAGAAAAAGCTGATCAACCCTAATTAGAATCCACTAAACCATTAAATGTTAATTAAAATATTATGTAAAAAAAATTCGGACACTAGACGTGAAAGATGGTCATACAAACAGGTCTTAAGTTTCTAATTGTTTACCAGCACAAATGGAACTCCTTCCCTCCCCCATAATGCATCTGTAGCAAGATGTCATCACACCAGTTAAAGTGACCACAGCTCAGACCGGCTCAGCAGCAAATCTTTCCTCTAAACAGTCCCAGTACCGCGGACGTCTGTTTCCCAGCTTTTAACCCACAAAATTACAAGAGAAAAGACATCAAATAATAATGCTTTTACTATACAGATGTCGATTTAAAACTAGATAACTCAATTCTATATTTTTATGACTATTATTTTACATAAAATAGAATAAAAATATTTTACTGGGAAGAACGTAAATACCCTAAATTTGGGCTATTAAAGCCGAAATCTGGAGTTTTTCCTCCAATGGTGGAAAGATGTACACCTTAAGCCATTCAACCCCCTTCCATATTTATGGCTAGAAACACCTCTTACATGAACACTTCTAGTTGGCCTTCTAAATATTTAAACTTTGTATTGTGAGCCCAAGGACCGAAAACCCATAGATGACAAGCGAACTTGTGGTCTAGTCGGTGAGTTGCTGGTAGATGAATGGAGAGTGCGCGATGAGGTATAGAATGTTTGTTAGGTAGAAGGGTGCAAGTTTATTTAGAGCTTTTAATGTTAAGAGAATTTTAAATTGGATATGAGAATCATCTGAGAGCCAATGCAACTCAGGGAGAACCGGTGCATTATGTTGAGAAAGTGGAGTCTTGGTGATAACAAGAGTCGCTGAGTTTTGCACTAGCTGTAGTTTATGCAGGAGTTTCTGAGAGATACCAGAAAGAGAGAGTTGCAGTAGTCAAGATGGGATGTGGCTAATGCATTAACTAAATTTTGGCATCGGTCTGAGTAACAAATGGTCGTAGCCGACTGATAATGCGCAGTTGCTAAACGAACAACAGTTTTGACGTGAGCTGTGAAGTCAAATTACTATCCAAGATGACACCCAGACTTTTAACCGGTGAAGGAGATAGGATGTTATCGTCAAATAGAAAAGAGGGAAAAACTGAGTTAGTAATCTATAGATCTAGTTCCGACAAGAAGAATATATGTCTTATTTCCATTTAGTTTTAAAATATTATGAGAAAACCAGGTTTTTATCTCATTCAGACAGTTGGCCAGTGAAGCAATGGACAGACATTTGGGGAAGAAAATAGATATAGCTGGATGTCATCAGCATAAGTGGAAAGTGGTGTTATGTTTCCTAAGAATATGTTTATGTTTATTCATTTAGCACACACTTTTATCCAAAGTGACTTACAATTTATAACCTATGGGGCATGTTGTGATCTGTGGGGGAAACCGGAGTACCCGGAAGAAACCCACGCATGCATGGGGGGAACACGCAACTCCACGCAGAAAGGCTGCAGCCGAGCCGAGTTTCGAACCTGCAACCTTCGTGCTGTGAGGCAACAGCGCTAACCACTGCACCACCATGCAGCCCTAGAATATCCAGCTAGAATACGCCCAAGAGGGAGAATGTAAATAACAAACAGAGGGCCCAGGACAGAGCCTTGTGGGACCCCGCTGGAGACAGATGTGGAGCGTGAGTTAGGTGACTTAATTTTAACAAAGTGCAAACGGTCCAATAAATATGAGGTGAACAAAGATGAAGCGACACCGTGGACTCCTATAGTGAAGAAACGCTGTAGAAAATTTGAATGAGAAATGGTATGGAATGCAGCTCATAAATCAATAAACTAACTATTATATTGTCACCATTCCAGTTTCAGCGATATGATTTCTCTCCAGATGGCAGCTTTAAAAGGAAGCAGAAACTTCTCCAGTCAGAAGTAGAGATGTAGTTGTTGGTCCCAAATCAAGTTGATGTCACTGTAGTGTCTGTAAAACACCTGTGTTCGAGATAAGCCATAGTCTTATGCCGGTGTCGGTTCAGGATCTGCTCGGGTGCAGGATCGGCTTGGGGTTCTTCGACTGCCGATGACGTCAAAGTAGTTGATTGTCTGAAGATGAAGCTTACGGAAGTTACGTTATCACGTTATGATTTTGATTGGTCAGGACAAATTTGCGGTCGTAGTCTTAGCGGTTGTAGTCCAAAAATCAACACTTTTTGGAGAAAATATGTTTGAATTTCTAATGGGAATGTCAAATATAAGCAAATGATAAACGGTGACCCTCAAAAGCTCTTGATGTTGATGAAATGGGGCAAAATAAAATATAAGAACTTTATTGAAAGACACCAAGCAATATTTTGAATCATAGAATGTATTTAGATAACAACTAAGGAAATATACAGACGAACTCCACATTAATGCAAACAGATATGGCTTCACATATAGAACTATTCTATTTTTTGTCAGTCCGATGTTGGTTTTATGCAGTTTCACATTCTTTACAAAACAAAGATAATTTGGTGCTTTATTAACAAATTACAATTATAAAGAAAACATTTAGGTGTTGACAAACAAGAATGTATTAACAAAACTGCTGATGTCTTTCGAAAAACGTATGTGTGAAAGCCGAGTAAATTTGCAGTAATGGGACGTCATCGGCAGTCGAAGGACCCCGAGCCGATCCTGCACCCGAGCAGATCCTGTACCGACACCGTTCAATTCTGAACCTATAATGTAAGTTTTTTTATTTTACTTTACTATTAATATCATTATTTTGTAATAAGCATTGATTGGTGAAGAACAAATTAAAGTATTTGACATACATTGAACACTGTAATATTTTAACGGAAATTTATAGTTAGGCACAGGCGAGGTCAGCCAAGGCAATGGTCCTGCACTGAGGGCTATGTTGTGTGTATGCGCTTATTGAACAAAATTTAGCAGCGGCGGAGTGTGGTTCAGAAGTCAGGGCTTAACCGATCTTTTAAGTCGTATATTTTCATTGATAGACGGAAATTCTGCGATCGAGATAGACGAAAAGAGCTGAGGTTGTATTAGAAAAGACAACAAACATGATAACATCTGCCGGTAAGTCATCGAAGACGTGTTTTACTTAGCTGTAATTCTAGCTAGCTGCCATTGATTTAGCTGAGTCACACAGCGGTAGCTGTTGGCAGCGGGGTTTTGGCCACCGACACTAAATAAAACGCTTAACCTGTCTAAAAATCGTAAGATGTATTTTTAAGTAAACAATACATGTAATTTCCCCGAATTGGTCTTTCAAATTTCAAACAAGTTGTAAATGCTTGTGTCATCAGGCTACCAGACGTAGACATGCCCAGTTTTACAATTAGCGGCTTGTTTTCCATGTTTATGATTTTGAGTGCAGAACATTTATCGCAATTAAGCTGACCCATATGGTACAACTTTTGTGCTTCTGTTTTGTGGTTGTGTGTTTACAGCTGGGATAATTTCACTCCTCGATGAGGAGGAGCCGCAGCTCAAGGTAAAAACTGTTGCATGAAGGTTGAATCATGTTAAACAGGAGTTTTCAAAGTTAATTATCATTCAGAATTTTGAACATTGGCTCTTGATCATTTGGATTAAAGATCTGTGTTAAAGGCCCAGTGGAATAAAAGTTAAACTTCATTAAACTGAAACAGTTATACGTTGCGGTTCATATTATTGGACAGTTACACTTTTTGCACGCCAGCTTTAGCCAAAGATGGTGTATGCAGTGTAAGCAAAGCTACCCCATAGTTAATGTGTGGGAATGACTGTGTAGTAAGGCAGCTTTTTTTCCTTGCAGGAATTTGCTTTACACAAACTTGACTCCATTGTGAATGACTTCTGGGCTGAGATTTCAGGATCTGTAGATAAAATGTAAGTACTACTAACAGGCTCTGAAATGATGTCTTAATATAAAAATGCAACATAGTTCATAATCGGATTGTTTTTACGAATGTTTTGGTGAAAGGACTTAGTTTAAAATAACAATTAAATGCACTAGAAGAAATGTAGAAAAGGTTAAAGCAGTCTAAATGTTGCTTCACAGTTGCGCATTGAATGCTGGATGTTTATCAAAATCAATAACTGTATATATAAGATGGACAAACCCTCAATGGTGTCACCACGGTTTCTGAAGGGCCGAATTGAAGCCCAGTGGACAGTTCCAACTTCCGACCACTGCCATCAATGCCATGTCACACGTCTCGTCACTCTCGGACAACAAAAATGGGCAAAGAGGTGGAGCTGAGAGCCAGGCTGTGGGGATGTGGGAAGATTATTGGCACCCATCAAAATCTGAGCAGATATAGCTATAAGCTAAATGAAGCTGATGGAGCTACAGCTTCAGTCTGCAGTGATCAGAGCTGGGTGGCCAGAGCACGCAGCTGCCACCGCTCTGCCACTTTCAGAAAAACACGAAGCTGCTGTTGCAGAAGGGAGGGAGACTGTACCAATTTTTGATACCCAGCTCAACCAACATGTCACATTTCATCTTATTTTTAAACCAGGCAGCTTTATGTTAAGTGCACTGCATTTTAGCTTATTCAACCAGCAAAGTAAAGTACAGAAAAATTATTTTACTTACCGATAAAGATGGATGGAGCAGAGAATTCTTGGATCGCCCATTAGTGCAATCAGTACCACATTGCCATCTTTCTCCAATAATTGCACTAAATACATCCAAACACAAATACACAGAGGACATAACTGACAGTTTTTTTGTACCAGGCTGTAAACATGTTTAATCCCACTGTGAAGTTGGCATTTTTAACATGGGTCTCAAGGGGAACTCAGCCTCTAGTAAAATAGCTGGGAACCTCAATTTTTGTCACTTCGACTCACTTTCGGCAGGCAGAATTTGCCCTTTGATCCAAACCTATAATTTAGTAACATTTCAAGTATATTTATTCCCACACAGTTTCAGGGTGTGTTATCAATATTAAAGAAAACCTCTTGTTCAGTCCTATATAACAATCATATTTTCCCTTTACAGCGAGGTCCTGTATGAGGATGAATCCTTTCACAGCAGAGAATTTGCTGCCCTGGTGGCCTCCAAGGTTTTCTACCACCTAGGAGCATTCGAAGAATCTTTAAATTATGCTCTTGGTGCCGGAGATCTTTTCAGTGTCACAGATGACTCAGAATATGTAGAAACCATCATTGGTGAGGAACTGTCACCATGGCTTTCTGAAGTGGATAAATGTAGATTTGAAGTGTGTTCTCATGAATTCATGAGTTGTTTTCTGTTTCCTGTGTGCTTCAGCCAAATGCATTGACCACTATACCAAGCTGCGGGTGGAGAACGCTGAGCTGTCTGAGGATGAGGAGAAAAAGAGCATCGACCCTCGCCTGGAGGGTATAGTGAACAAAATGTTTCTGCGTTGCCTGGACAATCACAAGTACAAGCAAGCCATTGGCATTGCGTTGGAGACCAGACGCCTTGACATGTTTGAGAAGACCATCCTGGAATCGGTGAGCATCTTCAGTCATTTGCTTCTTAACATATCAAAAGATTAGTCATCATAAAGTTTCTTCTGCATTTTATTAGCTAATTAAAATCTTCTACAGCATTTCTTAACAATTATTTCCAGCTGTCATAGTCATTTTGTTCTTGGGATAAAACTGGTTTGTTTTTCTCTCAAATGCAGAACGATGTGAGCGGCCTCCTGGCGTACAGCCTGAAGGTTTGCATGTCTCTGATGCAGAACAAGACGTTTCGCAATGAGGTCCTGCGAGTTCTGGTCAAACTTTACATGAATTTAGAGAAGCCTGATTTCATCAACGTCTGTCAGGTAAACATTAGATTGTAAAATCATTTTGACACTTAATCTCAATCTAATCAATTTCCCTCTGGGATTAATAAAGTATTATTGAATTGAATTTGAATCAATAATTTTCTTTTTATTCGTAGTTAGATTTTTGTCAAAGATGAGCACTGTTGAATACACAGATCATTAAAGTTGAGAAGGACTGATAAAAAAATACAAACCAAGTTTCCACAGGATGAATCAAGTTTTAAAGAAAAAATCTATCTTAATAATTTATTTTAAGCTCAGTTGTTAAATCAGGATTTTTCCCCCCAGTATTTTTGTACATCTGGATATTAACTCCTTTACTGCCATTAACGACTAAAGTCGTCATTTGCATTTTTTTACTGAGCGGGCGTCGGCACAATCTCCTGCACCGTGAGAACAAACATCACGGCTCTAAAATCTGATCTTTATCTGCGTACGTCATGCGTCACGTGATCAGGAAGCGGAAAATCCATGAGATTGTTTTGGGCCGCTGCTGTGAAAAAAAGTGAGTCGCGAACCGGAAAAGCTTTTGCTTCTCACAATTCGATGACGGATCATGACAGAATGGATAACGCTCGAAACCTGCGGATTCTTTCTGATGTAAGAAGTGAGTCTACTCTTTGTTTTGTTAGTTTTGGCGTTGACATCATCATAGAGCCCAACATTCAGTGACTGTTCAAAAAACAGTAAAAACACTCAAGAACGCTGGCAGCGAGAGGCTAATCTGATCAGGAAACGGCAGGCAGTTAATGAGTTAAAAACTGATACCACATTGTACGTTTTTATAGTGAGAAACATGGTGTAAATGTATTAAGAACATAATCCTACACATTGTGAATTTAAAAAAAGGTTCAATCTGGTATAGTTCAGTCATCTGACTCGTGAACATTATCTAGCCATCATGAGGAATTTTATTTTATTTTACTCTCTGATACTTTCAAACACCTGTCTAACGTGTTCTTTTCTCTCCCCTCTGTAGTGCCTGATCTTCCTCGATGACCCGCAGGCTGTGAGTGACATCTTAGAGAAGCTGGTGAAGGAGGACAACCTGCTGATGGCCTACCAGATCTGCTTTGACCTGTATGAAAGTGCCAGCCAGCAGTTTCTGTCTTCCGTCATTCAGAACCTGCACACCATTGGAACGCCCATCCCTGCTGTTCCTGGCTCAACAAATACAGGCACTGTTCCTACGGCAGAAAATGACAGGTAGGAAGGAGTGGACAATTAACAACACAACTTCACCTTTTCTAATTATTTTGACCAATAAATGTTAGATTTGAGGCTGCTAACCTTACAAGTAATTACTTCTGTGCTCCAGTGATGCAATGGAGACGGATGAAAAGCCTGGCAGCTCCCCAGCTGGAAAGTCAGCAGAGGCGGTAAGTGCTTTTGATTGCGCAGCTTTCTGGGGCTGCCAGTGTGTGTCTAAACAAAGCAACCAGCCTGGTTCTCATCCTTGCTTCTCTGACTCTTTGTAGAAAGAAGAACCCAAAGACCAGAACGCCAAGATGGTCAAGATTCTCAGTGGGGAGATGGCCATTGAGATGCACCTACAGTTCCTGATTCGAAATAACAACACAGATCTAATGATTCTAAAAAATACTAAAGTAATATGGGACACGAAACAGTGTTTCAGTTGAACATCAGATTTCTAAATGTTTAGTTCAAACAAACCTGCATTTATTACGACAGGATGCTGTTCGGAACTCGGTGTGTCACACAGCCACAGTTATAGCCAACTCGTTTATGCACACAGGAACCACAAGTGATCAGTTCCTCAGGTAGTGATGGGAAAAATGATCAGTCTTCTAAACATGCCTAAGGTTTCCAAGATAAATTTAAAAGTGCTATTTTGTAATAGAATTGACCCTATTTTTCTTGTTCCTGAAGAGAAAACTTAGAATGGCTAGCAAGAGCCACCAACTGGGCAAAGTTCACAGCCACAGCAAGTCTGGGCGTCATTCACAAGGTAACGTTTTGTCACCATCAGGATAACCTTTAGTAAACCGTTGGTTTTTGGTTGTTTTTCATTTTGAGTGCGTTTCTGGTTTTTCATTTCAGGGTCACGAGAAGGAGGCGCTCCAGCTAATGGCCACCTACCTGCCCAAAGACACCTCACCTGGCTCTGCCTACCAGGAAGGAGGAGGCCTGTACGCTCTGGGACTCATTCATGCCAATCACGGTGGAGACATCATCGATTATCTGCTTGGTCAACTCAAGAATGCCAGCAATGATGTAAGTATTTTTGTTTAACGTCTGCTTGAGTATTTGAAATTACTGTATTGTTGTTATCTCACTCAGATAATCCACTATATGTGAAATCTCATAGTATTATTCTCTGGTCTTCTGCAGATTGTTCGTCATGGTGGAGCTCTCGGTCTGGGTTTGGCTGCTCTGGGCACAGCCAGACAGGATGTTTATGATCTACTCAAGTCAAACCTTTACCAAGATGATGCTGTTACAGGTAGGCTTCTCACATTTTCTAAACACTCCTTCTGCAAAGCAAATAATGTCCAAAAACAACAAATCTGTCATTTTGTTTTTTGTAAGTCTTTTACATACACAGTACAGTATTAAAATGTCCAAACAAGGCATACTTTACTATACTACGCTATGATTCACTGTGACCTCTCAGGTGAAGCTGCAGGTTTGGCCCTGGGTCTGGTCATGCTGGGCTCCAAGTCTGCTCAGGCGATCGAGGACATGGTGGGCTACGCTCAGGAGACCCAACATGAGAAGATCCTGCGTGGCCTGGCAGTGGGAATTGCTATGGTCATGTATGGACGCATGGAGGAGGCGGATGCTCTCATTGAAAGCCTCTGCAGAGACAAGGTACGTCGGAAAGCAAAGCTTCTACACCACCAGGACAGTGTCTTTGTTCTTTAGAACAACATGGCTTTGTGTAGTCTGTGTATATTTAACACCATACTCTCCAAACAAAACAAACCCGATCAATCCCCACACAAAAGGAAGTGGTGGCCATTGTTCTTTATTAGACCTACAGTTTCAGTGTGCACCTGTTTGATGTCCTGTGTACTCTATGAACCCTGTAACACTTTATTCTGTCACACGTGCGGCTGTTAGCCAGGATTCATTCTATAAGCGCTGTATGTGGGGAATAGGGCTGCAACAAACGATTATTTGGATAATCGATTAATCGGATGGGGTCTCGACACGATTAATCGATTAATCGGATTACATAGGGACATTTTTAAAAACTGCTAGGGAAATGTTATTTTTCTCCTTCCTTCACTTTATTAAACACAACATTATTAGAAAACAGTTCAATAGCAGAAAAACAACATGCCATCACCTAAATTGTCTTATAAGGTGTATAGACAGACACCCTAAGCTACACCTATCTGTGACCTAAAATGCTTGGTCCAATTAAACAGCTTAAAGAGCAAGTCAACCCCTACCAGAGTCTAACTCTACTCGCGCTTCATGTTTGAAAAATGCAACACATGCTGTTGCCTGGCAGACCGAGAGGGTGGAGCCGCTAACAAATACACACAGACTCAGGCTCACGACAGCATTGTGACATCATAATGTACCAGTTTACATCATAGCATACTTCTTAGCCAATAGCGGTGGCAGATTTAAATTAAAATACAGTGCAGAGTTTTTACCTGACAACGGCACAACACTGCCAGTTTTAGGCAGAATATTTAAATTTTAACTAAGATGCACTGAAGTGCCAAATTATTGACGACACGTGTCTGCAGCACGATTAGACACTCGTTTATTTAGTTTATCAGCAAAAAAAAGTTTATTTGGGGGTGACTTGCTCTTTAAGGGCAATTCTCATCTGTTTTGTTTGATCTCATCTGTAGACATTTATTATAATTGGGGATGTCAAACAACTAATTTTTAAATGTAATTAAACATAGGCTGTGAATTAATCAAAATTGATCACTATTTCCACAAATGACTGAAAAATACCAAATAAAACAAAAGTAAATGAATGCCATCCTCCTTGCGATGATGCCCTGGGCAACTGCCATAAAGTCACATCAAGAAATGCTGCTGATCATTCCAATGATCCCAAATAGACTCACATTAGGCCACATGAAAGCAACTGAACCCAAAAATATATTAACCAGTATATAACTGCACTCTCACACAACACGCCTGCAGCAACAGTTAGGACTCCTCCCTCCCTTTTAAAAGCGTTTTCGCTTCTGAGGACATTGTGGTTGTAAAGCCACATGCTAGTAGTCTGGCCCCGGTGTGATCAACCAGTTTCTGCGGGAATGTGACGGCGGAACCGGTTCGCAGCGGCGCGAGTCCACCCCCCACCCCCACCCCCCCGCCTATCTAATAGCGTCGCGCTTACAATTTTATAGACTTTTTTTAACGAGCTTAGGGCATGTCTAGCCTGTGTAATAATCCGGGGCTTGGGTAAATCACTTTTGAAAAGTTTTTAACTTACCCGGATGCAGAGCTCTCTCCTTCCTCGCTGATGATTCTGACATGCTTGCGTTTAAGACGCTGCATCATCACCGTAGTATCCCCGTGCCATGCTAAGTCTGACCTACAAACGTTGCATGTCTTCGCCTGATTTAACTGAAAATGCTCCCAAACTTTAGAAGTTTTTACTTTTTTTGGGGTCTCGCTGCTTCTGCCATGTTCCTCTTTTACAAACACCTGCCAGCTCTCCACCGGTCTGCGCGCAACGGCGGGCGGGAGGGGAGGGGGCTTTTGGAAGAGTTGTGCAACACAACAAATCGATGACGCAATTCGTTGCCAACGCTTTTAGTAATCGATTTTCATCGAATTTATCGATTCGTTGTTGCAGCCCTAGTGGGGAAATAAGTCAAACCCTGTTGGTCTTTGTTGTGCACACACACACACACACATACACAAAACATTCTCTAAGCTCTGCTTTATTTCACTGTCTTTGATAGGACCCCATATTGCGGCGATCTGGTATGTACACTGTTGGAATGGCCTACTGTGGTTCTGGGAATAACAAGGCCATCCGGCGCCTGCTGCATGTTGCTGTGAGTGTTTTTTTCTTTTCTATTTTCTCTAAAGTAGCAGTGATGCAGATGCCACGTTTCAGGACTTGTAACTAAAATATTTGTCAGCAGGAAGTAAATTAACTTAATAAAGTAAGAAAGATAATCATATAGTTTTGTTTTCTCATCTCATTTTGTAAATAAATCTAACTGGTCATTTGTCAACTTGAAAGCAACTGTTGCAAAAGGTTGTTTTATAAATATTAAGGTGGAAATCAGGAAGTGGAAACCTGCATAGGCCTGTAGTCCTTCCTTTTTAGTATTGCTGCCCAGTAGGTGGCGCTGTGTGCCTGCCTAACTTTTGATCAATCCTCAAAGGGGACCTACTTTTACTTTTTGAGGGAGCCACATAATTTAGATCAGTTTATGTTAATGTGCCTGTTTGTTTACGTGAACGTTGTTTTTCTTAATCAGGTGAGTGACGTGAACGATGACGTCAGGAGGGCTGCCGTCGAGTCCATTGGCTTCATCCTTTTTAGGTAGGCTCCAGGTGTAATTCCTTCAACTGTGAACAAAAGAGTTTTTACTTCAAAGAGTTTTCTTACTTTTGAACTCAGGCTTGGCCTTAATAGCAGTTTTCACGTAAATTAGCTTAATTTTTATTGAGTTTATTTATTTTTAGAGTCTGACATTGAATAAAGTTTCCTTTAAATGCTGTAAAATAGGGCTGCAACAAACGATTATTTGGATAATCGATTAATCGGATGGGGTCTCGACACGATTAATCGATTAATCGGATTACATAGGGACATTTTTAAAAACTGCCAGGGAAACGTTATTTTTCTCCTTCCTTCACTTTATTAAACACAACATTATTAGAAAACAGTTCAATAGCAGAAAAACAACATGCCATCACCTAAATTGTCTTATAAGGCGTATAGACAGAGACCCTAAGCTACATCTATCTGTGACCTAAAATGCTTGGTCCAAGTTAAACAGCTTAAAGAGCAAGTCAACCCCTACCAGAGTCTAACTCCACTCCCGCTTCATGTTTGAAAAATGCAACACATGCTGTTGCCTGGCAGACCGAGAGGGCGGAGCCGCTAACAAATACACACACACTCAGGCTCACGACAGCATTGTGACATCATAATGTACCAGTTTACATCATAGCATACTTCTTAGCCAATAGCGGTGGCAGATTTAAATTAAAATACAGTGCAGAGTTTTTACCTGACAACGGCACAACACTGCCAGTTTTAGGCAGAATATTTAAATTTTAACTAAGATGCACTGAAGTGCCAAATTATTGACGACACGTGTCTGCAGCACGATTAGACACTCGTTTATTTAGTTTATCAGCAAAAAAAAGTTTATTTGGGGGTGACTTGCTCTTTAAGGGCAATTCTCATCTGTTTTGTTTGATCTCATCTGTAGACATTTATTATAATTGGGGATGTCAAACAACTAATTTTTAAATGTAATTAAACATAGGCTGTGAATTAATCAAAATTAATCACTATTTCCAAAAATGACTGAAAAATACCAAATAAAACAAAAGTAAATGAATGCCATCCTCCTTGCGATGATGCCCTGGGCAACTGCCATAAAGTCACATCAAGAAATGCTGCTGATCATTCCAATGATCCCAAATAGACTCACATTAGGCCACATGAAAGCAACTGAACCCAAAAATATATTAACCAGTATATAACTGCACTCTCACACAACACGCCTGCAGCAACAGTTAGGACTCCTCCCTCCCTTTTAAAAGCGTTTTTGCTTCTGAGGACATTGTGGTTGTAAAACCACATGCTAGTAGTCTGGCCCCGGTGTGATCAACCAGTTTCTGCGGGAATGTGACAGCGGAACCGGTTCGCAGCGGCGCGAGTCCCCCCCCCCCCCCCCGACTATCAAATAGCGTCGCGCTTACAATTTTATAGACTTTTTTACGAGCTTAGGGCATGTCTAGCCTGTGTAATAATCTGGGGCTTGGGTGAATCACTTTTGAAAAGTTTTTAACTTACCCGGACACAGAGCTCTCTCCTTCCTCGCTGATGATTCTGACATGCTTGCGTTTAAGACGCTGCATCATCACCGTAGTATCCCCGTGCCATGCTAAGTCTGACCTACAAACGTTGCATGTCTTCGCCTGATTTAACTGAAAATGCTCCCAAACTTTAGAAGTTTTAACTTTTTTGGGGTCTCGCTGCTTCTGCCATGTTCCTCTTACAAACACCTGCCGGCTCTCCACCGGTCTGCGCGCAACGGCGGGCGGGAGGGGAGGGGGCTTTTGGAAGAGTTGCGCAACACAACGAATCGATGACGCAATTCGTTGCCAACGCTTTTAGTAATCGATTTTCATCGAATTCATCGATTCGTTGTTGCAGCCCTACTGTAAAACATATTTATTAATGGGTCTTACTGGGCAGATGCGTGTTTATTAATGGGTCTTACTGGGCAGATGCGTGTTTATTAATGGGTCTTACTGGGCAGATACGTGTTTATTAATGGGTCTTACTGGGCAGATGCGTGTTTATTAATGGGTCTTACTGGGCAGATACGTGTTTATTAATGGGTCTTACTGGGCAGATACGTGTTTATTAATGGGTCTTACTGGGCAGATACGTGTTTATTAACTCATTCACTGCCAGCCGTTTCCTGATCACTAACGGCCTTCGCTGCCAGCGTTTCTCACCGTTTTTACTGTTATTTTAAGAGTCACAGAACGTTGCGCGCTAGCATGATGTCGATGCCAAAACAACCAAAAACAAAGAGGAGACTCACCTCTTACATCAGGAAGAATCCGTGTGTTTCGAGCGTTATCCATTCTTTCATAATCCGTTGTCGAATTGTGATCGGCAGACGCTTTTCCGGTTCGTGCCTCACTTTTTTTACAGGAACGGCCCAAAACGATCTCCAAACACATGGATGGGTTCCTTCTTGATCATGTGATCAGTGACGTATGCGGATGAAGATCGGCTTCAGGGCTGAGATGTTTGTTCTCTCAGCGCGGGGGCTCGTTCCAATGCTCAAACAGTAAAAAAATGCAAATGACGACTTTAGTCGTCAATGGCAGTGAATGAGTTAATGGGTCTTACTGGGCAGATGCGTGTTTATTAATGGGTCTTACTGGGCAGATGCGTGTTTATTAATGGGTCTTACTGGGCAGATGCGTGTTTATTAATGGGTCTTACTGGGCAGATGCGTGTTTATTAATGGGTCTTACTGGGCAGATGCGTGTTTATTAGCATGATTATTCCTGATTGGTTCATTCATGTTTTGCTAATTTGGCAGAATTTAAATGGAGATCAATCTTTGATGTTTTTGCGTTGTTCCTGGCCCAAAATCTCCTCGATCTGATTTATACACACAATATTGTAATACTGCTGAATACAGTGGCAATGCAGCAGTCCTTTGTACCCTTCTTCCTTTTGTTCTGTTGTGCTTTGATCTGTTTTGGGTTCAGTATTAGAAAAACATTAAAGCAGACAACATAAGGAAAGAGAAGTTTAGAAGTATTGCACTTGATTCAAGTCAGCAAAACAAAAAATATATTTTATTAAGCATTTTTAGGTTTCCACTTTTTGCTATTTTCAAAGCACAATCTGTTATTCTGAAACCATGTCAAAACAGCTGGCTGCAATACACATAGTACAACAAAGCTTCTCAAAAGTTCAGCAAATTAAATTAGAATCATTTCAAGAGTGCAAAAATTGTCTTTTGCAGAAGGGATTTCAAAGTTGGAGCTATTTTGTCTCAACAAAACATAAGCACGTGGTCTGAGATGGTTTACAGCTAACTTAAACAGTCCAAGTTCGCTGGAGTATATCATATACATCATTCAGATATTTTCCAGGTTGTCATGTCTGGCTGCCCGAATTTTTGTGGAAGCCTCGTCACACTACACTCTCACTCTCCTGTTTCTTTTCAATGAGCCTGGCACTGGTTATTTTTCTCAACCTAGAACTTGGTAGGGTGTGAAAACTTCGCCTTTGTGTATAATTCACATTACTGATGTGGCACATTTAGAAGGTTCGCTGTGTGCTAACAGCTAACAGCAAAGTATCCTTTTACTCAAGTTTAATTATCAATGGAACACATTTCCTTATGTAAATGGTCACCAACAACATCAGATCACCTCTTGTTGTTACGCTGACGTCCGCTCATGAGTGTCTGCTTTGTTTCACTCTTCATTATTAATACTTTTCTCTGTTTCACGGGGTAAGCCTTCGTCGTAGAGACTGAATACATGCCACAATTCAAATAGATTAATCCCTGTGGTCACTCTACACGCGGCTTACGTGTTCTTCCTGATTAAAATCATCATTTTCAGGCAGAAGTTTTGAGTTTAACATCACACCACCAGGCGACTGTTCAGGTGCTTGCTGACAGCTGAGCGGACTTTGGTAATTCACTGCTCCGATGCCGTTTTTCATTCCGCGCTTCATGAGCAGTTTTGAGTTTTCTGCCATGGAAGATTTGAATGAAATCCTTGTGAGGGTCCAGTCCATACTTGTCGACCCCAGATGTTGTGCTGCCCTGTTGCTTGCGCAGTTTTTGTAATTGCAGGTGATGTAACGTGTGAAGGCTTCCCTGAAGGTTTTGTTGAAAAGAGTGTAGACCAGGGGGTTAATGCCTGATGACACGTAGCCAACCCACACAAAGATCTCCATCAGGCGGGAAATCACTTTCTCGTCACAACTTGTGCAAAGTGCAGATGTGATATTAGTTATGAAAAAAGGGCACCACATGACAACAAACAGGAGGAAGACGATGCCCAGTACCTTGGAGGCACGCTGCTCATTGCTCAGAGTCTGCATTGACTTCTTGCCCATCGTTGACATTCTCCGAAAAGATATCTCATCACCCGCTGAAGCGTTCATTAGGCCTGTGTTTGTTTTTTCGTGCATCTTGAGAAGTCTGATATCCAACATATTGATTTGCTCGGCTTCAGGTGAAGCCAAAGCCTGTTCCCTTTGAAAAATCGTTGAGATTGTTGGGGAGCCAAAGCGCTGAGTCACCTTTGACCTGAGCAAATAAACTTTTTTGCGCAACACCTGCACCGTAAGTAGGTAGATGATCATCATGATGGCTAGAGGAATGAAGAAAGCCGTCAAGGATCCAAAGATGATAAACTTGGAGAATGTTTCTGGTTTCAGCAGGCACGTGTGGTTGCTGTTGAAGGTGATGTTGTTATGAAGATTCTTCAGCCCTTTTATTGGAATTGGTATTGCGATACCTGCAAAAGGGACAAAAGTGATTTAGTACAGGCAAACATAGCCAATAGAGTAATGTTTGTGCATCTCTAATGCATTACCACACTGGTGTTTATGTAGATGGGTACTGTCTAAATCTCACACTGATTCTATGTCAAGACGTTTGTTTGTTAGGGGAAAAAAAAGCTTTATGAAAGATATTGGTAGCCATCTAAGACAAGTTTGTGTTAAAAATGGTTGAATAAAGTTGAGTTTTCTTACAAATGGATATGAGCCACACCAGCGCTATCTTGACCAGTGCTTTGGCTCTGGATTTGTACTGGCTGTGCTGGATTGGCTTCTTGATGGCGACATAGCGATCCAGTGAGATGGCACACAGGTGCATGATGGACGCAGTGGAAAAAAGGACATCAAGGAAGAGCCAGATGGGGCAGAGGAAATCTGGAAGTGGCCATCTAGAGTCTAAAGAGACAGTGAGCTGGAAATTAATCAGGAGAATAAACTTTTGGCATTACCTGTTATGTTTTTTTGCAGTTAGTAGCTAAATATTGTATTGTTATTCCTGGCTAAAGAAAATTAGGTTTTACCAGTAATGTGACGGATGCACTGCAAAAGCACAAAATTCGGAGCAGCACTTGTGTAAAAATGGGTGTTTGTTTATATGTGAGGAATGTCTTTGCTGGAAACTGAAGAGTTCATTGTTTATGGAGCTAAAGGCTCTTTATGTAGATTGTGGCTGGGTCTATGCTCAACAGTAGTGTTTATTTTGAGTTCCAGGCATAAAACTGGCGAGAAATTTGTTCTGGCTTTTGTCTCCCTGTCCATTAACATTGCAAAAGACTGTTGGTGGAAAGATTTCTTTTCGCTTGTTTTTATTATGCTCCCCTCTTGCCTTTTACTTGCACCGCTTTCTTGTCACGCTGGGGGGAATTTTTGAGTCACAGTTTTGGTCCGGTTTCATCTGGAAGGCTTTCATTGATAAATACTGTTCTCGTTACCAAAGTAGACCTTCTGTCCCCGTTTTATGAAATGTTTCTTTCAACGCCAAAGTCAATTAACAGCATAGCTTGTGAAGTCAAACTAGCTAAAGACGAGGGTATTTAATAATTTTTTTAATTATTATTATTATTTTTGGTGAAGAAAGAAACTTTTAAACATTAGAACTTCGCTGTTGTGGATCTGCTGTTTAGATTGAATGTTGTACTACAAGCTTTCATATCTTCTCAACACAGGAGAGTTGCTTTTGTTCTTGGTGAGCTCGTTTGTTTTATAAATTACCAACCCATGTAGTTTCAAATCCAGCAGTTTCTGGTTATATGAAGTTGTCTTCGGTGCTTAGAGTTTAATCGGTCTTACATTTGTTCATTTAGAAAGTTTAACACTTTGCTTTTACAGTTGTTTTTTATTTTGTTTGTTGTGAAGCACAAGTTTAGAACTAAAACATCAATGACAAATGTTCGTGTGTTTTTACTTTTGAAAAGACTTCAGCTCAAGTTTTTTTATTTTTTTATATTAATGAACACTCTGTATTATTTAACAACCCAGCTAAACTTTTAGAAAGTTCTCTTCATTACAGTATAAATATAAAATGACTAACATCTTTTAGCGTTGCAGTTCACACACAATGCTGTTTTTAAATCAAATGCACACTTGCATCAGTCTGGCTGAGTTCATGTTTATTTTGATCCAGAGTAGATCTAAAGCTAGCCCACTGACTTGGACATCACTTTAGGCCACAGTAATTTGGAGTGTGTATCCGTTAGGAACGGGATGGCCCGGTATTTGTTATTAGTGTTGTTGCAGCCCGTCCTGTCCTGTGTAGCTGTGTCCTAATGTCCTTCAATTCTGTTATGAGGAGCTGATCCCTCCTCTGGCAGTTTGTGTTTTTGTGAATTAGCTTTATTATTCTTTGGACTCGTTTCTTCATGTAAGCAGGACTGCAGGACTCAGAGCTACAGCTCTCCTGATGAGGGGACAGTAATAATGTCATTAGGCTTGTAAAGTAATGGTAAGAAATTGATTATTTATTTGTATAAATATATTGAGTTAAAGTCCCATTAGTTGTCACACTGGTGTGTGAAATTTGTTCTCCACATTTGACTCATCCCCCCAGGTGGAGCGGCGAGCTGCAGACACGACTGAGCTTGGGAACCATTTGGTGGTTTAAACAACACCCCCCCCCCCCCCCCCCCCCCATCAAACCCCTTGATGCTAAGTGTCAAGCGGGGAGGCATTGGGTCCCATTTTTTAAGTATTTGGTATGACCTGACCGTGCATTTGAACCCACGATCTCCCAGTCCCAGGGCGGACACGCATACCACTAGTCCACTGAGCTGGTCTATGCTTGTTATTTTGAATGTCAACACCAATGACGAGAATGATGTTACTGTTTTACTAAAGGCAATAGAATTAACTTCTCTGTCAAATTAAATGTACATTTTTTGTATAACTATTTATTTGGTGTCATACTTTTATTTCTCATTAAAAACGGATTTATCGTCTTAGTATAAAGACAAACAAGTCCATTATAAAAGCCAAGCCTTTTCACCTTTCATCTTATTAATAGCATCCAAATTTAAATCCGAGTCTCATAGATGGACAAAATGTACAAAATGGAAGCAATCACGGATTAATTACGAAGCTCTTGTTCGTAAAAATGGAAAAAATGGTCAAAAGCAGGATTCGGTTCTTATGTAAACCGTGGTGATGGAGAGGCTGGACTACAAAAGCAGCTTTGTGCTGCTCTATCCTCCACTCTTGTGTGAGAGACATAATTACTATCTGGCTCATTATCCTACAATCGAATTAATGAAGAGTAAGGGCTTCAGCGTCACCCTGAGTTTCGTAGTCGTATTCGAACACTGGGAACAGAAGTGTAAATTATTTCCTGTGCAGCTGTATTTAGTTTGCACAATTAGAGGGATTAAATAAATTAGTTAGCTCTTTTCTGCCCGTGTGTTCTAACCCTCGGTTGGCTCTGCAGCTGCTGGGTCAGCCGGGCCAGAAGGAGGCATTTATTTATACAGTTATATTGTAATAATTTAACAAGTGGTCATGATTATATGTAGCTTGTCTCAAAAATTGGGATCCTTTTCTAATGTACTTGAATGCATTTATTATATTGTGTAACCTGACCAACTTGACCAGTGATGGTAAACGGCTTTAGGTCCTTATAGAAGTTAAAATGTAACGTCAAGTTGGAATTTGGGAGGGGAATTGGACACGTTAAGCAAAGTAAGATCTCATATGAATCAAATGTGATTAAAACCATCAAAAATAAAGGTTCAGTTTAAGCAGAACTTCTTTCTGTAGTATCGAACATCTGAGGTTTGGTATTGTAGATGTTTAGAGATAGAACATCGTATCGCTGCATGAAACACAAGGCCCTCCTGCTGAACTTACTGTAGAGAACCGTGATGAGTGCGAGGGGCATCACCAGAAGTCCCACCAGCAGATCAGCCACAGCCAGTGACATCAGAAAGTAGTTGGTGGCATTCTGCAACTTCCTTTCCAGCGACACAGCAAGAATGACCAGGATATTTCCTCCGACGGTGGGGATAATAACCATGACGATGAGCAGGGCGGCCCATTTCAGCTGAATCTCAGGCGCTTCGCCTGCGTGCAAACTGTTGTTGAAATGCGCCATGACTGGCAGGGGCGTGTTGCTGCTGAGATCCCAGCGGGCCTGAGCGTGGGTGGAGGCTCTGATCTTTCTGGTTTTGGACTCTCGGTCAGCATGGTCACTGGGTCCCACGGGCAAAGGCGAAGGGTATGGCGGGACCACTCAAGGCGTGTGCATGAGACGCATCATCTCCAGCAAAGAATACAAATCAAAACCAACAGCTGACACTCTCAGATAGTCACTGCTTGAGAGGCACGAAAATAAGAAGATCTAATAAGTCCAAAGCTAGAATAATCCCACAGCAAGTCATACTTCCTTGGCGACCCGTAGCTGGAGACCTCACATTCCCACGTTGCTCATACTCCAGTCATCTGTGTGTAAGAAGGAGAAATGTCTGTTTAGGAAATGCTGATGCTGTTACCTGATTTCTTTTGTCTTAAGAGTGATGTAATAAACATTAACCTAGAGGCCTTTCGTTTCTCTAGTAATTCTCTCGGCTATAACAAAGAAATAATAATGGCCCACTTGCTTCTACAGATGATGTTGTGAGGCGTTTGTAACTAGAAATGCTCAGAATAATTCTCGGTGCTCCCGTTCTTCCGCTCACACAGAGCTGTGTGGTTGTGTGAGAGTCGGAACAGTTCTGAACCTTAAAGAGTTGGTTTCTTACCTTCTTGTCGGGGTTTTATTGTCTGAAGTTCTCTGACTTGTAAATTCCCGAGTATCTTTCCTGGCTGCTCAGTCCAGACAGCCATGCAGCTCGGCGCCGGTGCTCTTCAGAGTCCACGTTGCTCTACTCCGAAGCTCCTAAGGTAAGAATGTGATGTGACTGAATCACCTCCTGCAGCAGCTACGTCTAGTAATCCATGGGGTGGGGTTAGCTCCACACGCTGGAGCGAATTAGAACAAGGTCTTGCTTTGCAGGACAGGTTTAAAACTTTCAGATGCTGTGGCCCCTCCGCCTCGCTCTCATTCCTATTCACTGGTTCTTTCTTACTGCCTGCAGTCGGCTCACTCTCCTCTTGTGTCAGTCGTTGTCTCCCCCCACCTTCCCTTTTCGTTTTGCAAGTCAAACTCTATACAAAACAGATGAATGTCCTCTTGCTGGACACATGCCAGTGGCTTAGGGAGGTAATTCCTTTCAACACGGCTGTCCCACTGTTTAGACGACCCCCCCCCCCCTCTTGAAACAAGCAGTTATACTGGTGCAGCAGTGGTTTAAGGGGGGTACCCTTTTGTGTGATGACTGTACTGCACAGCTTTTTCCTTTTTCTCCCAGTGAAATCAGACTTCTGGGCTAACAAAATCCAACACAGTCAGCTTTGTGTCAGTACTCTCAGATATGATGCACGCTGTTACAGTCAGACAGGAACTTTACCTCTTAGATTTTTAGACTCCAAGCTTCTTTCTTTTGCTAAACAGACACTCTTTTATGCGTGTTTCCACTGAAACCAAGAATTTGTGTTTTAACAAGTGCTGAAATGATTGAGAACATGCCCATTGATAAAAGATGACACACAGGACAATCCACAATCTGCGTTGTTGTTTTTGTGCAAATACAGAATCGGTTCATAACAGATCTAGTGAAGGTTGTGTTAAAGGGTTGCTCGTATGTCTGATACTGTTGTCTTTTGGTCTGTGCACCTCTAGAGTCTGTGTCTAATTGAGTTAAAGACTGAAAATGTCTTTGACTCTTCATGTCCAGTGTCCTCACTCAGTCCTCCATATTCATCCTCTCATCGTGCCTCTGCAGGACTCCGGAGCAGTGCCCCAGTGTGGTGTCACTTCTGTCGGAGAGCTACAACCCTCACGTGCGCTGCGGAGCCGCCATGGCTCTGGGCATCTGCTGCGCCGGAACAGGCAACAAGGTGAGAGCCTGCCATCACAACATCCTCTTTCTTCAAGTCAAACCATTTGATCATCGTTGTCCTTTTTGACGAGCTTTTGTTTCTAAAAGATAAAATAAATATTAACTGCATTTTAGCTGTGTGCTTTTTTCCTCCTCCTGGTACAACCTGTGCATCAAAGATCACATTTGCTGAATGAAGGCTGCTCCACTCAGCAGCTGTTTAATGGTTCATCTGTAAAACTAAAGAGTTGCCTCCTTACGGTAGAATTATTTTAGCCATTTGGCTAATATTTGAGTTCTACAGCAGTTGGAGCATTTAGTAAGAAATTCTCTCATCTAATTTCTTCTAATCCATTAGGATTTACTGTAATTTTTAATAAGGGAAGGATTGCAGATTAGCCAATAAAATGATCCAAGTTGGCTCTCAGTCATCGGGGGCTTTACTCTGTCCATGTGTTCAGGCTCATTCACATGTGTGAAAACGGCGAATGTTGGGGCTGCTGCCAGTTCCTAAGTTGTCCAGGCCGATGTGGCTCGCTGCACCTTAAGCCTCCGAGCAGCTCCAGTGCTGCTCTAAGTGTTGTTGTTTTCCAAAACAATACCTCAAGGACATTAGAAGACGGCGAGGGTGATGGTGAACTCAATCCGCTATTTACTGGGAGTGTTTCTTTGCGACATCAGTCCAGTAAAACGTTTACTGGGCTGATGTTTGTTTTATAACCAAAAGAAGAAAAGCAAGAACTTGTTGAGGGAAAAAATACTGAACTTGTGCTCCAACGTAAACATTTCAGCCTGTGAATGGAGAGGTATATTACAGTCCAGTCATATCAGGTGATCTGTTTTTATTTAGGCATTAAAAAAACGCTAAATTAACTGGTTAAATATGGCTTGCTGCTTTTAATTTTCAACATAAACCCCCCCACAGTAAAATTAATGTAATTTCATTTACAAATGAGCTAAAAACAGTCCACCAAGGTGCAGATTATCATGGGTCAGTGAGGACGATATTCCAGACCAGAGCAGGACTGTCTAAGGCCGTTGAGTCAGGAACACTGATGAGCCATGGTTTATTTTACCTCCGCTGTCGTCCTCCTGGTTCGTTTCTGTTTTCTCGGCGGGGACGACGCCTCCGTCCAAGCCGGCTGGTGTTGGTTACAGCAGAGCTGTTCATAAGTAATTAAAGTTACTGTCATGGACTTGCTGCAGAAACAAATAGCCCAGAATAAAAGGAGAGAGTCCTCCTTGGAACAGAGTAATTGCTGACTTGGTTGTCTGGGGCAACCAGATACGGAGGCCAGTAATGTGATTAATTTGTGTGGTCTGTTGCCTCTGCTGATGATCACTTTTCCTGTGTTTAACCAAACAGGAGCGCCGCTGTAGCAGCTGTAGTTCACTGGGAAGAGAAAAAAAAAATCTAAAATACATTCATAGTTAAAAAATGTGGTGAGAAAATAGCATTTTGGTACAAGTCTGTAAAATATGAAATGACAGGTTTTTATTACAGCTTTAGATGTCTATGACGGTTGAAAAGCAATCCTCACTAAAGCGTTCTGAGGTTTTTGGAAGCTTTTATGTTATTTCATGTGAATTTACTCTGCTTTGCTTCCACACAGGAGGCAATTAATCTGCTGGAGCCCATGACCAACGACCCGGTGAATTATGTGAGACAAGGCGCCCTCATCGCCTCAGCCCTTATCATGATCCAGCAGACTGAAGTCACCTGTCCCAAGGTAGGTGTACAGGCAGTAAACCGGCTTATCGTCGCATCGCAGCCAGGATCCAATAGTTTATCTAACTTTTGAGTGAAGCAGCAGAGGAATTTTCTTTTAAATGTGAATCAGCTTGTAAAAATGTACAAGTGCACAACATTGGTGACTTGCTTTCTGGATTATTCTTAAAATAACTCTTCACTGACTTGTAAAACGAAGCTTTATTCCATTAAATCTTTTAGTGAGTAAATTACACAAAAAGAGGATGATGTAACGAGAGAAGTTGTTTGGGTCGAGGAAGACTTAATGATCTGTCCCGACACTCTCATGGTTTAGAAATGCCAGACACGTTTGATAAAACTCCTCAATCTTTAAACGGTTCTCAATTTAAGCACGGTTGTGCAAGAAGCTTTTGTTCTTCAAGCAGCTGAACATTCAGATGTGATGCAGCACATCTACAGGCCTCTGCGTCGGGCTTGCAGTTGGAGGTTAAGTGGACCTATTGGCTGAGGATTTTGCAGCCCAGCATGTGTTCGGTTTTACAGGACCGCCCGACACTGGGGCTCTCAGCCACTCCATCACTACTGTGGGGTAGATATTCTGCTGGTTTTCTGCCAATTTGACAAATGTATTTCAGTTTGTGATGCCGGTATTTCACACGTTAATCTAAAGTGCACATGTTAACGTGGGCTCAGATTCTCTTTGGATAAAAACGTTTTTCCCCCTAAATACAGATTTTAAATCTTTCTTTTCAGGTGAACCAGTTCAGGCAGCTTTATTCCAAAGTCATCAATGACAAGCACGATGATGTCATGGCCAAGTTTGGCGCCATCCTGGCCCAGGGAATCCTGGATGCAGGTCAGTTTCCAAACAGAGCCTCTGTGGGTTTACCCCTCTCTGTCAGTGAGCGGGGAGATGAAACGGCTGTGTGGTTGTGCATGCCCCATGTGGTCTCACCTCTCAGGGGGAACAAAAAGATCCACATTTCTTAATTACACGGCACAACAAGCAAACTGCTCTAAATGCATCGTGGGTTTTGTGAGAGTTTCTTTACACACGTACAAACACAAAGCAACCCTCTCAGGCTGACCACCCGTGCACTCCGGCTCTGGAAGAAATCAGGCTGAGGTACATTAGCGGCTCTACCTCAGCTCCGCACTTCTCTCCACCTTATGGCCCGCTGGCCTCCACCCGGTGATTACTGTTTGTCCGATTGCCTCCGTGTTTGTGGACGCAAGTGAGCAGCCTGCATAAGTGTGTGTGAGGTCTCTGAGAGCTGTACAGCATCACATGGAGAACACGTCCACAATACGTTCACATGTACAGGTGAAACTCAAAAAGTTAGAAAATGATGCAAAAGTTCATTTATTTCAGTAGGTCAACTTAAAGGTGAAACAGATGAGACGGACGCATTCCATGCAGAGCCAGATGTTTCAATCCTTTATTTGTTATCGTTGTGATGACGATTGTGACTTACAGCTGATGAAAACCCCACACACAAAATCTCAGACACTCAGAATATTGTGAAAAGGTTCATTATTGTAGATTCAAAGTGTCACACTCTAATCAGTGGATGGATCCACAACATCATTTTGTCGCTTTGGACAAAAGCGTCTGCTAAATACATAAACATAAACATAAACATCTGCAAAGACTTGCTGAGCCTTTAGATGGTCTCTCAGTCTAAGTAGGATTACTGACATAAACAGACTTTTGCACCGTGTTCTAATTTGTGAGCTTCACGTGTGTGAATAAACCCAGACTGGCTACGGGTGCTTTTATTTAAACAAATCCGTGATGTATACACTACTACGTTACAGCTGTTTACTAATGACACCCCCCACGACAGTCGTGTCACCTGAGTGTTCCTGCAGAGGACACGACTGCGAGTCATACAGAACACAGCCTCTATTCTTGGCTCAGTGTGTGTGTGTGTGTGTGTGTGTGTGTGTGTGTGTGTGTGTGTGTGTGTGTGTGTGTGTGTGTGTGTGTGTGTGTGTGTGTGTGTGTGTGTGTGTGTGTGTGTGAGAGAGAGAGAGTGTGTGTGAGAGATTCAGGCAGGTGTGAAGGTGTCCACCTGGAATTTCTGAAGCAAATTCTTCTCCTGCCTTTTTCTAATCTCCATTAGATTATTTTTTCATTTCGATGTCTGTTTTAAACATAAAGCCATGGCCTTTTTAACAATGTGACTGAAGTACTTTTAGATTTGGAGCTTCGTGCTTTTTTTAAATCCTAAAATAAAAATATTGTTTAGGATTTTTAACACCTGGAGCACATGCCTCCGTGTTACTCCCTGTCCTTCCTTTTTCCACCATTCCAGGACATAACAGAACTGAACTCACTGATAAGTAGGTTCAGTTGGAATGTTTACTTTGTGAAGTGCCTTTACACAACTCGAGTTGTAAATTGGCTCTTTTATAAATAAATAGAATTAAAATGAAAATGGCAGCGATGCTCAGTATGTGGGCCGGGTCCGGCGATGTCTTTGTGGCCCCGGAACCGCACGCTTTGTGACGACCTCATCCCTTACCTGGATGAAACCGTCTACCCTTTTCCAATTCAAGACCATGGTCTCAGATAAATAAATAAATAAAAACATTTTTATGGTCTCAGATTTAGAGGATCTGATTCTCATCCCAGCTGCTTCACACTGCTGTGAACCGCTCCAACGAAAGCCGGTGATCACGCTCTGATTAAGCCAACAGAACCACATCATCTGCAACCAGGGACAGGAGTTGTAAATTAGCACTAGCTATGAACTCTGAATGCATTGCATCCGTAACTTCTTGCTGGACAGCAATGTCTCTGTCAAGTAAATATTGAGAAAAAAAATAAGCAGAGACTTAATCCTTAGGCCACCAAAACAGTGCCCCCCCCCCCCCCCCCCCCCCAGCACCTTGGCTATCCCTGGAAATCTTGTCCATAAAGGTTACGAACAGAATTGGTGACAAAGGACAGCCTTGGCGGAGTCCAACTCTCACCGGAAATGAGCCCGACTTACTGCTGGCAATGCGGACCAAGTTCTGACACCGGTCATACAGGGACCTAACCGCCCGTATCAGAGGGCCTGGTACCCCATACTCCCAGAGGGCACCCCGGGGGACGCGGTTGAACGCCTTCTCCAGATCCACAAAACACATGTAGATTGGTTGGGCAAACTTCCACGCACCCTCCAGGATCCTCCTAAAGGTATAGAGCTGGTCCAGAGTTCCACGGCCAGGACAAAAACCACATTGCTCCTCCTGAATCTGAGGTTCAACAATCCGACAGACCCTCCTCCCCAGATTTGCTGAATAGACCTTACCAGAGAAGGAATTTTTTTGACCACTTCAGTGACCTCCGCCCAGTGAAGTAGGACGGTCTTCAAACACTTCAGACAGAACATCGTTGTGGGTTTTGGATGTCAGACATGCTCGGGCTCATGTGGTAAAAATTAGGGATGTCCCGGTCAGGTTTTTTTGCCCTCGAGTCCGAGTCATTTGATTTTGAGAATCTGCCGATACAGAGTCCCAATCCGATACTTTCAATACATATAAAAAAAGAAAGAAACGGAGGAAAAAGTTCCAGAATGTTCCTTATTTTCTATTTAATTACCTTTTTATTTTAATTTTTAACAACAGATCACTTCTGTGAGGTAACTTGAACAATCAAGCAATAAATAACAAAAATTCTTCACTTTAGGACTTTATTGCAAATATAAAAAGTCTAATATAAAAACAGATAGCACTTCAACTTAAAATACCTGGCAGGGGGCTATTTTGCCTCGGTCCCCAAAATGCTTAGATACGTCCCTGGGCATGGGACGGAGCTTGGAAGATGATCTGAATTGTAACTATATAAATACTACATGCTGATAAATTACTGCTTTATACAGGTACAGACGTGTAGTGGGATCAATCTACCTACATTTTATTTTTTTACGAACTTTGTTTTGTTTTCTTGGTTTTTATTTTCCTGCCTTCCTGTCCTGTCTGTCTCTGATCTTCCTGCATCTCCCAGTCCTCCAGAAAAACTCCTGCCAGCTTCCTTCTTTTTCACCTCACAAATAACTTTTTAACCAGCAGATAAAATTGATCTATTGACCGCAAAAATGCGGTGTGTGCGCCGCGCTGCAGCGAGGACAGCGCGAGCGCGTCCACACGTCATGCTCAAATCCAGACAGAACTTACCAGAGAGAAAATGAACGGACACGAACGACTGTGTGTTAATTATATATTTTTTGGTGACGCCGCTTAGAAACTTAGAAAATGTTACTGTGGCCGTGTGCAGAACGCAGCTGGAGTTCATGAATAATCAGCGGTCTGCCTGCTGCTCTGCATCTCTGCTCAAAAGAAGTATGCTGAGTCCATATAAATAATATAATATAGGTAGAAACTGGATCTCTTTTGTGCTCCTTCTGGGTGTGTAAGTTAAGGGCATCAGGGGAGCCTGACAACCTTCAAGGAGAACCAAGTTGCTCTCCTGTAATTTGGACCCAGTATCCGAGTCCGGATCGGGGCTTGGATCGGGAAGTAAATCCCGAGTCCCGATCAGTCTGAAACCACGTGATCGGGGCCGATTTCCGATCATGTGATCGGATCGGGACATCCCTAATATAAATGTTTAAATATTCTGCCTCATGTAGGTCGTTAGCAGTGTGTGAGGTGCAGGCTAACTGTGTTTCATTTGACTGGCGGAAGCGATTAGAGCCGAGCTTCATGATCACTGCCTGGTGCTCATTACACAGGAAATGGCCCATTCTGTCTCACTCTCTGTATCCGTGTCTTCTCTTTCTCACCTCGACTCCCCTCACTTATTGACACAAACCATTAATTAGATGTTTGTGCCCAAATTAAAGAGACAAAACCCAGTCAGACTTTTGTCGGTCATTTACGCTCCACCTCTGAGGGATCACCGCTACCCCGACACTCTCTTTCAACAATTCCTTGGAATGATAACTGGCCCCCCAAACCAAGAGTTGGCAAAAACAGCAGGTCCGGGGGGGGGGGGGGGGGGGGGGGGGGCACACTTGTCAAGTGCACTCAGACCCTCAAGTATTTAAGAGATTTTTAAGCACCCAGTTGCAGAGCAGCAAACAGACCTCGTTAGTCTCCTGGCCGCCATTCAATCTGTTAAACTGGAAGGGTTTCAACACCAGTTCAGATGTCAAGATTAGGCTCTTGTGTTGAAGTCAGATCAAAGTGGGTCCGATGCAAGACGGCAGCAGATGATATACGGGGTATTGTTTAGTTCAGCTGGAAGAGCTTCTCCCCTTGTGACATTTCCTTTTTTTTCCTCCTGTAGGGATGACAAGTTCATCCCGGTTGCCTGCTTTCTTCTCTTCCTCCCCCACCCTTCTCTGTTTGTTTTGGACAAAGACGCAGTGATGTTCTTTATTTGTTCTGGTTCTGTTTGACCTGAGTTGTTAACCTTTTTATACATCACTGTCTAAGCTGTAGTTTAGTGGAGACCAGAGGAGCCAGTCAGTAAGAACAAACGTTAACCGCGCTTTTCCAAACTTTAGAAAATACTTTACAAACTCATAATTAATCAAATCACATTTTTTATTTAATTAATTAAAATAAAACAAACAGCATGTAAAAGTACCAACTGGGGCTTTCAGAAATGTTAAGACTTATTTTTTCTTTATTATTTTTGAAAATAATCAGTCACTCAGAGTTTAACATGCAGGCTGAACATGAAAATAGTCTCCAACACCTATCTCCTGCATGAGCTTCTGATCAGAAATAGACGGTGAAACTCCAGGATTAGAAAATCCTACCTCACACTGTCACTCAGCATTCATGGATTCACCCATCTTGGCTCACAATGGGGAAGGCTGTTGTTGGTTTAGCGTCCAGGAAACAGCAGAGAACGTCTTGGCTAGTAGAAGCTAACCGTTAGCATTAGCAACTTCGTCAGTGGTAGAGGCAACATGTACAAATAACAGGAAATAAGACTCTAAAATGCTGCCATCTGAAGCTACTTTGTACTCCAGCTGACTTCTATGTCCTCACACTGGCACATTGGAGCCCCCCCCCGGCTCCACCCCAAGTACGACTTACAAGGCATTCATTCCCACCAGAGACCACCTCAAATGTATTACAGTTATGAGTAAAGTTGACCTAATGTGCAACTCATTCATCAAAGTGACAAATCAAGAACAAACAAAAACAGAACTACGTGTTGGTGCAAATCTACAAACTAACGTACAGATTTAAAAGCATTCGGCTACGTTTAGTTTAAAAACGGGTGTCTATTTTTGGTCCAGTTGATCACCTTTAACTTTCCTGTGTAGCCGAGCCATGATCATGATGAATGTGTTCATTTAAGTTCAAGATGCTGTAGACAATGCATTCCTGGGTGGGATCAAGTCCCCATAAATCATGACTCATGAAATAATACAGCAGGCAGGTTGGAGCCAAAAGACATCCACCCTTGGGTGGTGGACGTCCCGGTTCCTACCACAACTCCCCCAGGTTATCCTCATGAACAAAGACAAACGACGTTTCTCCTTTGGTGTGTTAGAGTAGTTTTCTTTTTTAAGCTTTTATTTTTCGCACCAGGTGGACGTAACATGACCATCTCGCTACAGTCCAGAACCGGTCACACTCACATGCCGTCAGTGGTGGGCCTGCTGGTCTTCACCCAGTTCTGGTTTTGGTTTCCCCTCTCACACTTCCTGTCACTGGCCTTCACACCGACCGCCATCATCGGCCTCAACAAGGATCTCAAGGTACTGAAGTGTTTTCTGTCCTTGTTCATCGTGTGTAAAAGTTATTTAACGTAAACCGTGTTTATTTAGCTGCTGCATCAGGGTTGGGTTAGCGTTTAGGAGTCGTGGGTTCCTCGTTCTGCAGGAACAACTGTTAGCAGCAGCTCAGTTTTGGAGTCCTGCCACTGGAACGCCGGTGCCAAAGACTCAGCGTGGCATATCTAAAACTGACATCAGATCAGCCTCATCTCGTCTTTGCAACCTGAATCAGGATCACATGACATCGAGGCCACTGATGCTCAGCTCTGCCAGGGTTTTTACTCAGTCTGCACAGTCTTGGCTTCTCACAACTGGTCCAATTAAGAGAAAAGTTGTAGCTTCACTCCAAGACTTTGATAGAAAATTCCAAAAGGGTTTTTTGTTATAGAAATGGAGAGATTGTTGCTGCAGCGGTGCAGCTGTAAGCTGTTGAATCCCTCAGTCGGAGTAAACTTACACTAACCAGAAGGAACCTGGTGCTGCTGCGGCTGCACATCTTCTGTTATGTTTGTCTAGGTCTGACAGAGCACTTCTTCACTTCTACATAAACTCAGGTTTGTTGAGAGGGAGCCGCTTAAATGTGCAACAGGTCGGCCCGTTTGTTGTGAATTCATCATGAGATTTCACTAACCTATGCCAGGCTGTTCCTCCCAAAAAGAGCTTTTCTTTAGTTTCTGCTCAGACGGGAAGTCCTGCCTGTGACCTCCAAACAAACACAAATCATTTTATTGTGGCTCTGAAAGTTTAATCAGGTCAGTTCGTCTTTAATTAAAGGTGTAAAAGCTGCTGAGTTTAGAAGGTTTCCAGACATCTGACCCAAATCTCCTCCTGGATCTGGTTTGCAAGTTGAACCGAACCGGAGAGGACCAACACCAAGCAGGACAAGAGCACAAAACAAATGTTTTGGGGCGACGGTGGCACAGGAGTTAAGCGCTCGCCCCGTAATCGGAAGGTTGCAGGTTTGAGCCCTGCTCAGTCTGTCGCTGTCGTTGTGTCCTTGGGCAAGACACTTAACCCACGTTGCCTGCTGGTGGTGGTCAGAGGGACCGGTGGTGCCAGTGCTCGGCAGCCTCGCCTCTGTCAGCGTGCCCCAGGGCAGCTGTGGCTACATTGTAGCTCATCCCCACCAGTGTGTGAATGTGTGTGTGAATGGGTGAATGACTGTGTTGTAAAGCGCCTTGGGGGGTTCCATGACTTTAGAAGGCGCTGTATCAAATACAGGCCATTTACCATTTGTTTTTATTTATCAAGTTTTATATTTACATAAACGAACGCCCCATCATGCTCGGCGCTCTGGTTCTGCTTGTTAACATCTTAACCCTCTCATGTTCTTCTAACAGTTAAGGAGCGTTGAGGTTTATTCTTCTTGTGTCTCCGTTCAGATGCCCAAGGTGCAGTACCGCTCCAACTGTAAGCCCTCCACCTTCGCCTACCCACCCGCCCTGGAAGTCCCCAAAGAGAAGGAGAAGGAGAAGGTGAGATCTGTGGCGCTGCTTTGGTTTCCTCCTCCTCAGATCTCTAATCCAGGAAAGCCTCCAGTTATTCTGCTCATTTTCCGCCTGTCTTGTTTATTGTTCCAGCATCTCCATCCCGTTTTTCCTGTCGCTTCTTTTCCAAATCTGAGATTCTCATTGAGAAAAAAGCAGCAGATGTTTATGTTGTGGTTCACGAGCTTTTGTCCGTTTTCAGCCGTGTTTGTAAAAAAAAAAAGAGTTAGTCAGATTGTCTTACACGATGGAAACGTCTCTACTCTGTCTGCGTGGCAGGTATCTACGGCCGTTCTCTCCATCACAGCCAAAGCCAAGAAGAAGGAGAAGGAGAAGAAAGAGAAGGAGGAGGAGAAGATGGAAGTGGTGAGTGGAAAACACTGAACCCGCTCACCTCTCCTCCCAGCGCTTTAGTCTTGTTTTGAAGGAAAGCTTTATTCTAACACTGATGAAACACAAATAATCCTCATTGGATTGTATTTGGGCTAATTTTCTGAGCTTGGGATTCCTCGTTGGTTGATTTATGGGCCATTCCCATCTGTACCGGGTCGGCCCGGGCCAGGTAGCCCCAGTCGGCCCGGTTGATTCCACACATCCTTGTTTTAAGCCCATGTGGGCTGATTCTACCCACCAATCAGAGGCTTGCTCTAATGGAAGGTGTGAATTTGCTGTCAGCAGTGGGTGTGTTGGCCCTGGTCGGCCTGAAGCAGACCCCCTCGAGAAGAGGGCTGAGAATGCGCCTTGGTTGGCCCGGAAAAATACCAGGCCGCCCAGATATGTAAACAACCTACGCTACCCGGCCCGGCCGACCCGGTACAGATGGGAATGGCCCATTAGACTCCAGGAGACCTGATGGTGATCATCAGCATCTATTCCTGCTCCTGCCCACACGCCAGAGCCAGGACAACCTTCACAGGGGTTTTCTTTTAGGGCGAGCAGCGCGTTTGGTTCTCTGGGCCGCTTTTGATTTTTATTCAACCCAACTTATTGTTTTGGTGTTTGAAGGAGAGCTGTCGACTGAAACCGGAGTCAGATGGCTCAAAGTCCACCCGTCGACTGTGGTTGTTTACATTCAGAGATCAGCTCTCCTGCTTGAAAGCTTTTCCTATTTATAGTACGAGTGCTTGTTGTTCATTATCTGAGATTTACAGTGTCTGTTGTTGTATTTATCAAGATGTTCTGCTGAAAAACAGGAAAGCAAAGTTCCCAGAAGAGTTCTGAGCATGTTCTGATAAACGTGTGCTTCTAAATCAAATATTAAAGATGCAGCTTTGATGAGGGGAACTTTAATTCTCTTCCAACAGGAAGTCCAGGAGGTTGAAAAGGAGAAGAAGGATGAAGAAAAGGAAAAAGAGAAGAAGAAAGAAGCAGAGCCGAGCTTCCAGCTGCTGGAGAACCCGGCCAGGGCGATGCCGGCTCAGCTCAAAGTCCTCACGATGCCCGAGACCTGCCGCTACCAGCCGTTCAAACCGGTACCCACAAACAACTTCAATGATCTCACAGATCAGGATTCAGCTTGTCGGCTGATTTTGGCTTGGGGCTGGTTTCTAAAAGTCCGTAAAGCAGAGTCCTGCTGTAAACGTTGACAGCTCTCTGCAGTAAACGTTAAGATGATGTGCAGTCGCCCAAACGGCACCGTCAGGAGGAAGTGCTGTTGGGTTTCTGCGCTGCGCTGCACGGAGCTCGGTTGTCTGAGGTTTGGTGATGCTGCTGTCCTTTTAAGGGTCTGTTTCTGATTTAAAAGCTGCCTTTAGGAAGTGAAGAGGTTTTACGGCCTTATCTTGGAATCTGCTCAGTGTAAGGGCGTTTAATTAGGGCTGACCTTTGGGGGTTTCCTGCTTTTGTTCTCCATAGACATAAAACTGTTTAGTCAGTCACTGATTGAGAGCTTGTTTTTGGATTTAAACACAACTGAAATGACAGGGCCTTACTCACAAACACACACACACACACACACAAGTGTGACCCCATCTTTCAGTGGTTTGGGAGTGTTCCTGTATATAAAAAACAGCCATGGTTGACCTTTAACCCGCTGTTTGTCCTGTTCTTCACCAGCTGCACACAGGCGGGATCATCATCCTTAAGGACACCAGCGAAGAGGAGGAGGAGCTGGTGGAGCCCGTCTCAGCACACGGACCTAAGATAGAGGAGGAGGAGCAGGAGCCCGAGCCCCCTGAGCCTTTTGAGTACATCGATGAGTAGAAATGACCCCGCAGCAAAGGTCCGTCACCCTGAGCCTCTGGTTTAACCGTCTCAGTTTGTCTGGTCTGTGATCCGTCAAAGCTATTCTGTTCAAGTCCTTCATTGCCTTTAAAGAAACCACAACGTTAGCTTAACAGCTAGCAAATAAAATCTCTGGATAGAAGTTTGGTTTTGGTGTGAACGTGGAGTTAAAGCTGCGTTCTCCCTCATGGCTGTCGGACGTCTCTTCAGAGGAAGCCACGTTTCGTTATGAAACAACGCGGCGTCTGTGCTTTTGTTTAAAAGCTAACCGTGTTTCAGCCGCCGCCGCCTGAGGAATGTAAACGACCATTTCCACACGCCGACTCACAAAGTAAACCGAGCCCCTGACGGTACCGGGCTGCTTGTTGTGTTTATGTTGGACGAGCTGCCGGCTGCCTCCCGTGTTGGAGCGCACGGCTGCACGTGAAGAGACCGATGAGGTGCCGAAGACCGAGTGATGTCATTCATATATGAAGTGTGACTGGGGAAACACAGTCGGGGTGATTTCATCAGTGTGGCTTGGATTATCCTTGCAGCTCAGAAGCAGGTGGTTTCAGAGGTCACAGGTTTGATTCCCGGCTCCGTTATTCCAATAGAATTAGAGCTACAGTCGGGAATGTTGGACGCATTTGTTCCTGATTGAATTTTCACATCGTGAGCTAAAGGGAACCTGCCTTTTGAGTTTTAACAGGTTATTGATGCATGTTGCACCGAGGCGGGACGGTGTCGGGGGGCTTCAGTTTGTTTTAAAAATTCACCAGCAGCAAACAAAAGTCTTGAAAGTTTTCCTGTTTTGCCGTCGGTATTCCACGTTTTTCTGTTTGATCACGGCTGTTTGAGTCTGACCCAAGAAACAATGTTTTTAAATCAAACACCAGATTTAGAACAGATTTTCCTGACCCGTCCACGTTCTAAACTCTGCAGACCGAGCTCGGACTGTGGGCTGAATTTGATCAGAATCACATGTTCTATACCTGATGGAGTCCTCCTCACATTTTTGACCCATGCGGACTAAATTCAGATGCCCAGAATAACTTGGCAACTATTTTAAAGAACATTTGACCCTTTTTACTTGAATAAAATAGAGAAAATTGTTGACACGGAGTTACTGACATGTTGTCTTATATTGATGGCTTTTTTTGTTCTCTTTGTTTCCTCAGGTATAAGAAGTCATTTTGATCCCTTTTGCGTTTCCATGACGACCCCTGCTTCACTCCTTTTACTCGTTTCTTTCCGTTCCAGCTGCCTGTTTACACCACACAGGAACATTATCCATCCCTGTATTGTATAATTTGTTTTGGTCCGTTCAATAAAAAAACTTGGATATACGAAAGCCTGGAGAGTGTTTACTTTAGCGGCCATGCGTTTCTCTGATTCTGAACATTTTATCAGGTTTATACGTTCAACAGCCACAGCCCATCTGAGCGCTAGCAGCTCCGAGTGGCAGGAGCATCGCAGCAGATGCTCAAAACCAGGCCAACCATGTGATGTGTTGGACCAGAGGAGGAAGAGCGAGGTGACAGTGGTGCTGATGCAAGCATTTGTTTAGTTTTACTGCTTGTTGGTGGTTAAAACTAGATAAAAATAGTTTATTTAACATTGTAGTCTCCAATTCTGTGGTCAATGACACTGGCAGCTCCTCTGGTTCATTAAATACATGAAGAGAACCAGATATCTGGTCAACTGGAGACGAGTTTTTACTGATTTTAAAATAAAAGAACGTGGAAAATCTAAGAATGTCTTTAAAATGAGAAATTCCTAGAAAGCTCCCATCAGTTTGACAAAGAAGGTTAAGAGGTTGTTTCCTGTCAAACTCAGCAGTGTTTTTAAGAAGCTGTAAACGGGAACTAATTTAGTGGGTTTTGTATCATTCTGCTGGGAAAATGAACACATGAAGGAGGTTATTTTTAGCATAGATTGAGCAGAGCGTGAACCCGCAGCCCTCCGGTAACACGGCAGGCACTTGACTTAACTCCCACCACCTTCATGGAGCCAAATAGTTCAGGGGAACATGACTGCTGGTTTTATTGCAATACTCGATCAATTTTATGGTAACAAAATCCGACTCCTTTGATAGTGTACAGTCGGAAGGGGTGGTGATAACTTTTGCACCAAAACTAAATAAAGTGAGAGATCCTGACTCCCAGCCCCCTGGCATCAGTGGACTCGAGGCTGCAGAGGAATTGCAGTTTGTGGTTCTTCGACACCAGCTCAGGTTCATCGTCTCCTCTGGGCCAGATTCCACCGCTCAGAGAGCAATTGCATTTGGAAAATCAATCTTCCTGTGGAAAAGTGGTTTGGGAGTCACCGAGGAAGTTGTTTTCAGCATCATGTGTTGGAATGTCACTCAATTTATAAGCGTGGTGGAATGAAAACATCTGAAGTGAGCGCCTGTTGGAGATGATTTGCTGCTTGTCGTTGGCGGTCACAGAACCGGCTCCACTTTTGGCGCCGACACAAAGCCTAATCGGTTCTTCTCTTTGCATCCCTCCACACTCCGTCACGAACAACCTGACCAACTCTGCAGCATTTCCAAACCTTTAGCTGGTGTTTGGAAGCACATTAGGAAATTCTGAGGTCTGGTTTTGAACTTTGACCCCAAAATCTATCATCTGTCCTTCAGCGTGTGGAACTTGCTCCAGAAAATCCTAAATATGGAGTCACATTCCTGAAGGGGTGTTGGACTTTGTGTGTCCAGTGTGTCTCATTAAGTTACAGGTGGGGCCGACTCTAAATATGTGGAACATCTGCCTCTGTTCAGCCACATTTCATACTTTTCATTCTTCCTCTGTGATGAAACAGACCTCTTCCTCACCGTATGTTTCTCTATCCAGCAAACTAAAGACTGACCCGAATCGGTAACAACCAGGAATCTTTCCAAGCTGTTTGTCATTGTTTTTCTTTTAGATGTTCCTTGTCTCATTAAAGGAGAAATAATGTGCAAAGCTCACATTTTGCATCCGTTTGTGCCAGCGGGAGATGCAGCGCCGCCTTGGTCTACTGCCTCTCTGAACACACCAAACATGAAATAAAAGATGTGTTTCTCAAAAGTCTTTTGAGAAAAATGGAAAAGTTGGAATAGAACCACCTCACATGATAAATAAATGACCCACACTTGTATAGCACCTCGCAGAGTAAGGACTCCAAAGCGCTTTATCATTCACCCATTCACACACACATTCACACACTGATGGTGATGAGCTACGATGTAGCCACAGCTGCCCTGGGGCACGCTGACAGAGGCGAGGCTGCCGAGCACAGGCGCCACCGGTCCCTCCGACCACCACCAGCAGGCAACGTGGGTTAAGTGTCTTGCCCAAGGGCATAACAGCAGAATTCTCTGCCTGGAGCCGGGATCGAACCTGCAACCTTCCGATTACTGGACAACCCACTCAACCTGTTGAGCTACTGCTGCCCCACAGGCCATAGGCCACAGGCATGAGACAGCAGCTCTACTCTGAGCCCCTCTTGGATATCAGAGCTGTTCAGCTTATAGCGACCTGAGCAGGGAGGGGTGTGTGTGTGTTTTCCCCCTAAAGTGACAGAGCCCTGAAACTGCTCATTCTGGAAGGTACTGAAACTGGTGAAATTGCTTTATTGTCATTTATTTCTATGGCCCCTTCCACTACCTTTGTAGAAGCCCAAGGTGTTGTACACTTTCACAATAAATAAATGAACCAAAAGCATTTAAAAAAAAACACTCAGACAATAACAATTGTTAAATTAGTAATAATAAAAATGAACCTAAAAAAACTGCAAAAGAACAAAATCACAATAAAACCAAGACTGTCTTGTGACTCAATGGGAAAAGGCCAGTTGATAAAAGTGTGTCTTTAAACAAGAGTTAAAAGACTAGAGAGATGGTGCCTGCCTCACAAGCAAAGGCAACACGTTCCAAAAGCTTGGGGCCACCACAGAGAATGCACAGTCACCCCACAGATCACCCCAGATCTGTATCTGGAGCGTGTCAATTCCTAGAGTTCCCTGTCTGGGGAAATCAAGGCCCTTGAGGGGGTGTATCTATGGAGCAGTGCTCTGTAGGGCTTTATACTGTACACGTACAGCAGAGTTTTAAACTAAACCCGATACTCAACTGGGAGCCTGTGAAGTTGGGCCAATACAGGACTGATATGCTCCCTCCTCCTAGTACTAGACAAGAATCTCGCCACTGAGTTCTGGACAAGTTAAAGGCGGGCAAGTGCACCTGAGCTCACACCAACATGCACAGCATTGCAATAGTCAAGGCATAAAAATACAAATGCATGTAAAATTGTTTCTAAATGGGCCCTCGACAGCATTGGCTTCATCATAGCGACCCGTCAGAGGTGGAAAAAACAAGAACGTACAACAATCGAAATTTGTGCGTCAAACCTGAGAGCAGCATCGAATTTTACCCCTAGGCTGGTGACAACCGTCATCACGCGAGGGGCTAACGAAGAGAGGACAACCTCAGGGGCTGTACAAGCAGCCCTACCGGGGTCAGCAAAATGACCTCAGTTTTTAAGTGCAAATAACTGGAGCTCATCCATAACTTCATTTCAGCCATGCATCACACCCATTCTGAAAACACTGCATTGGTTGCTCGTTCAGTTCAGGATCAACTTCAACTACTTGCATTCAAATGTTTAAACAGTCAGGCCTCTCCCTATACGAGCAAACTCCTCCATTTCTACCACCCCTCTCATGCTCAGGTCTGCAGATGAACTCCTCCTCACCATCCCTAAGGCGCGTTGGGGAAAGGGCTTTTTGTATCTGTGCCCCAAAACTTTGGAATTCACTTCCCCTTCCGGTTAGACGAGCACCCTCACTTCCCGTCTTTAAATCGAGGCGGAAAACGCATGACTTCTCCATGGCCTTCGATTCTTAGCATCAACAATTTGTCATACCTCCTTCCACTGTGGTTTTCCCATCTTAAATTTGTGGTCTGACTAATTTTAATATTTTTTATTGTTTTGTTTGGAACCGTTCGCTGTATTTTTTTTATTGATTTTATGACTCCAGTATTTTATGCTTTTGTTGTTTTATTTTGTACAGCACTTTGGTTGGTTGTGATGTCATGTTGAAGTGCTTTTGTGAATAAAATGGTACGGTACGGTATGCAATCAAGGGGTGGTGAAAGTGAGCCACCTGCCCCCTGGCAAAGTGGCAGGTAGAGCTGACAATCATCGGCATGATGATTGTCTCTTTCTATGAGGGGTATTTAGTGCAAAGGACTTCACGAGTATAACTTTAAAACAAATGCATGCCTTGTGAGTCATTCCTGTGGGGAAGGAAAGCTCAGGCTGTCCAGTTTCAGAACGTAGAAGTTAGTCAGAGGACAGGGAGGCAGAAAACAGCTGGATCTGGAGTCTTACTCATAATCTTCATTATAAGCATGCTTCTGATTGGCTAAAGGCAACGTAACTCCTCCGCTGCCTTTGTTCACACTGCAACATTGATGTTTTATCTCTGTAAACAACACGAGCCTGAAGGAGAGCCGCCATGTTGTGGAGTCTGGTAACGGTTCTAGCACGCTCTGCTCTCTCCTGATGCTAAATCAACAACAGACTCCCATGGTCGTGAGTCAGTGAATGTAATGTGGCTTTTTCTGAGCCGAGCGTTTTTCCATCTATTTTATATTTTATCAGCTAATGCAGCATGTGGGGGGTGAAGACAATTTTCACTTTCTGCATGCATGTGAAACTCAGAGTGACCAATTTCACAAAGAACCACTACCATACGTTTCTCAGTACACCTCCCCTTTAAGAAAAAAAAAGTCATACGTCCCATTTAAAGGTCCTGTCCTCTATCCAGGAGTCATATGTGACCCCTAAAGGTCATCAGCCAGCAGAATGAATAAAAACACTTTATATCCTCAGACTTGTTTCAACAATATTTAAAAGACAAACAGACTAAAATTCTGTAACCATGAGCTCAAAAACCCAAGCTGTGCTCCTCCAGATCTCCATACAAGGAAAACTTCATCCTCGTCCATCAGCGGGTCGGAGGAGCATCTGTCGAGGAAAACAGTTTGGGCTTAGCAGATGTGGTCACCGTCTGGATGCAACCATGGTGACCATGCTGATGAAAAGACGGAGGGTCAGCAGCGCTGTTAAAGCAAACAGAACAACCCACCACAGGGCTCGGGTCGGACCAGGTCCAGGCAGGACTGGAAGGCTAGCGAGTGATGTACCAGTGGTCCATGAATTAGATCTGGACGTTCTCGTCAAACAAACCCAGGATGTTGTTAATCTTGGCCTCAGCAGACGACAGTTCATAAATTTCCTTCAATTTCTAAAAGATAGAGACCTACAAGGAAGCTATGAGGAGGAGAGCTCCCAGTTCCTGTGACAG